ACAATAAATGGGGAATGTGTCCATAGGACACAGATAATGCCCACTCTTGCAGATCATATAAAGTTATAAAACGACATAACTGAAGAACGGTAAAAGTGATGCTACCCAAATTTGTGCTTGATCTGAAGTTTTTTGGTAATAAGTATTGTGTATAAGTTTCATAACATTTGGTTGAGGCAAACTAAAAGTTAGAGAATGGAAACGAAAAATTCAGAAATTTTACCATTTGTTCTGGAACGGTTAAAGTAACACTTTTTGCCTCTTTCAACTGATTTTTATAGTTCGTTCTTATATTGTACTGTTACACCACTGTCCCAGGTTAGGGGGAGGGTTGGGATCCCGCTAACATGTTTAACCCCGCCACATTCTGTATGTATGTGCCTGTCCCAAGTCAGGAGCCTGTAATTCAGTGGTTGTCGTTTGTTTATGTGTTACATACTTGTTATTCGTTCATTTTTTTTTAACATAAATTAGGCCGTTAGATTTTCTCGTTTGATTGTTTTACATTGTCATTTCGGGGCCTTTTATAGCTGACTGTGAGATATGGGCTTTGCTCATTGGTGAAGGCTGTACGGTGACCTATAGTTGTTAATTTCTGTGTCATTTGGTCTCTTGTGGAGAGTTGTCTCATTGGCAATCATACCACATCTTCTTTTTTATATGTACATAAACAGGATGAAGTTATTTTTCTCACAAAGCATAAGCTAATATTTAATGAACACTGAAACACTAATTGCCATTCTGACCCACTGTAGCCGAGTCCAAGAATAGTGAACAATTTATTTCTTTCTTGGCAGAAAATTTCCCCTAACAATTATCTGGAGCACCACATGATATCAACATGTATCAGTGTGTGACAGAAGTAAAAAAAGTATGCTGATATTAAAACTTCTTCTGCATGTGCTGGCATAAGTATACATGTATATCTTTGCAAGTACACAGTAGAATATCATTAATAAGATGACATTATGATTTATATACTATTACCAATGAATTTAGATTTCCAAAATTTGTCTCTTCTCAAATTTCAATTCTTTCACTTTGTACTAAGGCAAAATTTCAGTTAATGCATTTTCTATGTTGTTTTTCCATTTCTACGTCGCCATCTTCAACATGTTCCTAGGTCGCGTTTATAAGGAGCATTCTGATTGGTCGATATAAATACTTTCTGGGGTCAAATATTACGTTATATAAGGTCACAAAAGTGAAACCTTGTAGGGTACTTGTTAGATCTTCGTATGTAGTATAACGTAGTATAACGAAATCCGAGATCTATATTTTAATTAGATTGCTTTATAGCTTGCTGTTCGGTGTGAGCCAATGCTCCGTGTTGAAGGACGTACCTTGACCTATAATGGTTTACTTTTGTAAATTGTTACTTGGATGGAGAGTTGTCTCGTTGGCACTCACACAACATCTTCCTATATCTATGCAGAGACATATAATACATGTATTATATGTCTCTGATCTATGTAAATGAAATACAATTCAAAAGCTTAACATTTGTTCTATAACATCGTGTCGGTTATATGAAAATGGTAATATAAATGAATTTTCTATGATTTTGAAAAAAAACAAAACATGTTTATAGTTTACATTGACGCCATTTTGTTCAGTCAAGTTCCATACCGATGAAGTCTGAAAGTACAGACAAAATATATAAATATAATAGATTTTCCCTTTGGAATTCATGGTTTTATTTTATACACGATTTAATTCATTTATTTTTTTTCAAATACCCTTTTTAGAACTTTTAAGACGAAGTAACTTAACATTGGATTGCAACCTCTCCCTTTTTTGTTATCGTTTCCTAAAAATGTATTGTAAAGCAAAGTAGCTATAGAATATGATGTATATTTTAAGGTAAACTCAACACTGTAAATATATAAGTTTTCCTGTGTTAGTTCCTCTTCCGTTAAACAGGAAGAAGCCTATGTAAATGAAATAAATATTGTTTAATTAGGTCTCCCAAACAAACAAAAAAGTTGGCACTGGCTATTCGATTACGTTGGAATGTAACAATAATAAAAAAAAGTTATTGCCCCATAACATCCATTTTCCTTATTTAAGACTTCAATAGCTCATAAAAGGTCATTTACCAAAATTTATATAGACTGATGGCAACAAGGAAATGTCTTGCAGACAGGGGTGTTCCGCTCGGCTTCTGACTTATAGTATCAATTTTCAATTCTAGATTTTTTTAATTTCACGTAAGTACATCCTTCAGGTTCCTAACCCAACCAAGCATTCCGGCAATTAGTGTCCATGCAATGTATAAACAATAACTTTTTTATTATTGTTACATTTCAACGTAATCGTAGACAGTGCCAACAAAGTTTGGAGACTTATTGGCTTTGCTCAGTTCTTCTTTTTATTAGGTCTTTCCACCTTTCTGTGGAAAGACCTATTGGTTTTCTTCTGATTATTTTTTTTTTCTTCCGCCTAATTTTTTTCTTGCGGTGTATTTTTGTTTCAAAAGATGTCGCTTAGTTTTTTGGTATATGATATCATACAGTCTATACGCTTTTGAAACTGACCCTGTTTAACCGAACACTTTTCTTTGTAAGAGTTATCTCCCCAAACACTGTTTTTCTTGTTATGAGATCTCCTCCGCAACCGTAAAAGAAAGCGACAAATTTATTTTTCCAAATTGCTCGTTATATCCTCAGGATGTTAGGTTTTATTTAGACCGAAGCTTTACGAAGACTCCATATGAGAGTTATTTCCCCTTTTGTATTTGATATATGTGAAATGTATTTGTAACTGGAAAACCATAAGTGATAGAGGCGTAGGGTCTTTTGATTTGAGGTCCTTGGTCCATAAAAATGAAAATGAGGTCAAGGTCAAAGGTCAAGGTCATGTTAAAATTTTGATTTTGGCTTGTTATCACTAATTTTCATAAATCTTATAAGATATCGACAACATATTTTTATAGAATTGTTAGTTGCGACATGTCGTAACACGTAAATTTTAGTTGAAAGGGTACGTAGACATTTAATGGGAGTTTTCGCCCCTTTTATATCTAATATTAGCTGTATGGTAATATAACTCATTAACAATATATAGTAGAGACCTAGAGTGTTTTGATTTGAGGCCCTTGTTTCATGACCTTGAAATTGGGGTCAAGGTCATGTACAAAGAGGCAAATTATGTGTTTTTGGCACTATTTAAAGAGTTTGATTGTGTTTTAATGCTTTTGTAGGTTGACATTGACCTTTAACCTTACTACTTGTTAAGTGATCTCTCAAAAGATAAATCCCATGTGTTTAGATATATAGTATCTAGGCTTTCAATTCCGTTTTTGCAGGATCCAAGTGGATCCGTTCTCTGTGTTAATCAACTAACTAACTAACCAACCAACCAACCAACCAACCAACCAATCAATCATTGCATGCCTGCATGTTTCCGTCTCATGTGTTTAATATGGGGTCCAAGATCTTTTCGCTTGTTTCAAGAGACCATATCCCACATGTTAAATTAATCAATCAATCAATCAATCAATCAATCAATCAATCAATCAATCAACCAACCAACCAACCAACCAACCAACCAACCAACCAAGCCATCATTCATTGTATGCATGTTTCCGTCTCATGTGTTTAATACGGGGTCCAAGATTTCCTTTGTTTCTTTTTTTCGCTTGTTTCAAGAGACCCTATCCCACGTGTTTAATCAACCAACCAACCAACCAACCAACCAATCAACCAACCAATTCAATCAATTAATTAATCAATCAATCAATCAATAAACCAACCAACCAATCAATCGTTCATTGTATGCATGTTTCCGTCTCATGTGTTTAATATTGTATTTACATGTCTTCTGAAAAAAAAAATCCACATGCTTGTTATCAGATGTTCTCAGAAACTACATGTCCAATTGACCCCAAATTTTGCAGTCAGCAGAGTATAGTATACATGTATTGAATCTTCATAAAACAACGTGGTGCAGATATCTCTCAAGAATTTTCCTAGAGAAAAGAAATTGCAATGCCGTAAAAATCGCTTGCTAGTTCCGTAAATCTCAGTGAAATCCTACAATAAAATGTCCGCTCCTAGATTGAAATACAAATCTGTGTTACAAACTGCTGCTGAAAAATGTACATTGTATGAAAATAATCGATAAACGTGTTTTAAAGTTACACAGGATCAATTAAATCCAAAGCATGCACTGCTCGTGAACTGTGATCGAAACGTCAATTACCTACAATGACAAAAGAAATACATTGTGTGTATTCCGTCGCTATACGTGTTGTCTGTCCAACGTCCCCACCTAAAAAGAAATAAAAATACTAAGTTTTCGCTAATATAAAGCCTCGTCACGTGACGCCACAACCTGGCGCGAGACAAAGACGCGCGCGGACCCTGAAATAGAATAAAAACTTTCCAAACTAAATATAGAAACTTAACCAACACACTAATATGGACCCTTTAAAGAAAGAAAAAAAAAAACCAAACAAACAAACAAACAAATAAACAAACAAACAAAACAAACATACAAATATATCAGTCAATCATGTTTCAGGTGGGGGAAAGACCGTTTACAATTGCTTTTTAAAGCAATTGATTTATATTTATTATTATTATTATTATTATTATTCCTTTTCCGTCGTTTTCACAAAATGTTCCGTTTCAAAGCCAATGTTGCTAATACCTTTTTTGTCAAAAATAAATTTATCTGCATTGGTCTCTAGTGAAGATTATGAACAATTAAAGGATACTTTTTTACATAGCATAATTATCCAAAATATTACAAAAATATTTTGGATAATTATGCTATGATCTGAAACATGTATATGTATAGAAAATTTTGGACATACAAAAAGGCAGGACCGAATAGAGTGAAAAATAGACAGAGATTACAACTAAAAAAATGCAGGACAAAATTTTTCATCTAGCCCCCTTTGACGACCCTTGACACAATGTGACGTCAAAAAGGATTGACAAAAATTGCATTGCAAAATAAATTTTAAATAGGGGAAAATACCCGAGAACCACGAACAGCTATTTAACTCGGAACATCTGTTGATCAATTTGTTCATCGTCTGACATCGAAGAAGATGGTTCCTCGAATACTAATAATTAATGTTTGCCTACTTTTAGTTTTGCTGCTTGGTAACAATTTTTTGTATTATTATCAGTTGATTGAAATTTAAACTATAGAAATAAGTTGTAAATGTACAGAGTAAATACAAATAATTATACTACGGAAATGCACGGTGTTTCATTTTATTTAAAAGTCATTTGGCTACAGTGGGAATCCTCAGGGGAAATCCAAGGTTCTTGAACCCGGATTTACCTTTTATTTTATGCACATTACCTTATGTTGATTCTAATCGTTGCACCATTTGGTCTTCTACTTGCTTTATTTTCTTCCTGTTATGGTGTATCCCCAGCAAACAATATAACGTCATAATTACGTCGTGACAATGTAATTTTTTCGTCGCATTGACGTCAGGTTATTACGTTGGATTTACGTAAAAGTGTATGGTTTTCTTGACGTTGTCACAACGTCATACATCAACGTTGTGGTGACGTAAAATCACGTTTCTACAACGTTATTCCTGACATTACAACAACGTTAATATCACGTTATATCGACGTAATATACTTGCACTTTTATATTATGCTATATAATTGGCCCAAAAATGATCATCTATATACATACATAGTATCAACTGTGTTTGTGACCATGAGGTGACCTCTGCAGGATGATACATGTTGGTGTCAATTCTCAGAAGGAATTTGTATATCCGGCATTATCATCATCTGTTTTTATTATATTATAAGCAAAACAATTTTTTTGTGTAGCTTTAATTGGATTACTGTTTCAGTAATTTGGATATTACAGAAAGGAATTGTATTGTGTTTTGGGGCCATCCATAGCTGACTGCCTGTTCGTATGCAGTTCTTGGTAGTTCCTGCTTGTAAAAATTATATGCATTTGTCATATATGTTACTCTATAAGTGGGATGTTCCCCCTGTCCCCCTAAACCCGCCTTTGATTAGTATCAATTTCTCATTTAGCATGTTCACGTTCTGAATATGTATCTGACTAGCTAAACACCCATTCATGAAAGTTTTATTAAAAAACTAAAAATAAAAAATAAAAGATGCATGTACTATATCAAAAAGTGAAGAATTGATCGTTAACTTTGTTTATTCTAAACTACTGAACGTTGCTTCTGGGTCCCTGGCATGTCCGGCACTGCTTCTTGTACCCTCTTAGCAATTGGTTCCTGCAATGACAATAAAAAACTTATTTGTACAAAAACTGAAATTGTAATTATTCTATAGGTCTAGTAACATCATGGCAAATAAATACTAGATGTAGCTGTGTGTAAGACGTGGCTTTCCAAATCTCTTTGAAGAACACATAAACCACATAATTATATATTCAGTTAAATACGTCGTGTGCGTTTAATGTTACCCTTTATTGTCTAAAAAGAGCGTCTTGATCTTCACAATACTAGTTACAAATACATATTTATAATAACAATTTCGTACTGAATTCAAAAATAACCAACTGTAATTTTCAACATAGAATACAAACAATAATAATTTTGTTTAATAATCCCTAATTGAAGGTTGCACTATACGGGGTAAATGAGGGCATTCTTACCTTATAGCGTTTTCCACCTGGTTTCCCCAATCAATTCCTCGACATCTGATGCCCTTGCTGAAGGGTAGTTCTTCATGTAAGCCTCTACAAAAATTGACATTGATAAAATTTGCATAATGATATTTAACATAATTTGAAAAACACCAACCTTATCAATTATAATAACAAAATATATTTATTTATTGGTAGTATAAGTAAATACTTTTAATAAAATAAACAGCAGCTATTCTTATATACATTTAGGACCGTCAATCTGGTACTTAGTCTATTATATCAATAGTCCCAGCGTCAATGTGATATATCAGATATACTATATATATATATATAAACTTTACAAAAAACCGGCAAAATAACAAATTCATAATATTGCCGGCGCCGGAAAAATAGCAATTGCTATTGAATTATGCTATTTATAGCTCACTTTTAATAAAAAAACTATTATAATCAAATCATAATTAATGTTTCGCCGGCAAAATAGCCACTGCCAAAATATAAAAATTTAAATATAATTGAAAGTTAAGATCAATAAATGTACGTTTTACATTTACAAACTGCCATATGAGGAATATATAATGCCATATAATAAGAGGAGCAGCGGTATTAATTTTTTGTAAATTTAATGTCCCTTGCCAAAAATATAATGTTGATTTGAGTAAAAAAAAAGTCAGGTTGCTATTATCAGTTTCATAAAGTCTCTTAAGGGAACATTTATGTTTTGTATTCCTTCATTCTAAATTTTTATCGGTTCTTTAAGAGTTCAATGCAGAAGACAAACTATCTTGTAAATACACTGTGTCTGTTTATACATGTTATAAAGGAAACATGATCTGGCAAATAAATAACACTGTGATAGCTTGCTATCCTGACCTCAATTAGAATCAAATTAGCTGCACATGTGTAAGATTTCTGCATACGAAATTTACAAAAGTTAATGAATACATGTTGAGTGTTACACTAATAAAATTATAATATAAAGCAAGATATATATGTAAAACACAATTAAATTCCTATTTTCTAAAACGGTTTTAGATATTACATCATGCACGTGTAAAACCAGAACAGTGGTGCGATATATATATATATGTAGGTCAGATACATTTAAGATTGATTCAGTTTTGAATTGTTTATTTTTCATTTATATACGATAGTAGATAAATGTTTATCGTGTAGTATATATTATTCTGTTCCTATAATAGAAACTTTCTAAAAAGTGAGAGAAAAAACAACAGTGAAACAATACAAAGATAAATTTACTTACATTGAATCTGAGTACAGTTCGAAAGAGACATGGCTTGCTGAATGGCGCTAAAATTTCATACACAATCGCGACACAGTCGCACCCATTATCTGGGTCAAAATTCAAAACAGATGCTCGTATATATATATAGGTTTATATGATCCGTTCATCCTATTTTGACTCTTTCAAAATTCAAGAGTCTATCCTAAATTGAGGTAAATTATATAGCCTTCCAAATACCGTTTCGATTCCTAACATCACTGAAGAGACATTAATTGTCGAAATCCGGATATGGTGTACAAATTTTTGCACCTCATGTTTGCGGTAACCATCTTTTCCGCAAGTTTATTGTTTTCTGTTTGGTAATGAATTAATTATAAGATCTATTTTGTTACATCTTGTGATCCGTTTATTTGGCAATCGCCAATGGCAGTCAGCAGGGTTTAAGAACATCAGTTGTTCGACCTGCTAGTCAAATGCGTTTTGTTAAAATATACTTTTTCACTCATTCGGTCTTTTTGGAAAATGTTGTTTGTGCTGTATTTAGACCCCTCTACCAAGAAATTTGTTTTGCATGCACATGTATAAAAATTGCGGTTTTTATCCAACGAAATCATAGGTTTGAACGTTGTTTTCAATTTAGACTTATATATATATATATATATATATATATATAGATTTAAAACTAATCAATATCGTTCAATAGTTCAATAAAAGAACAGAAAAAAAGTTAAATTTAAATTGAGTACAGCAAAAGAAAAAAAAACAGTAAAAGAAGAAATTTTGCTATTGTAAATTTTAGGAATGTCGATAATTACGTCGCAACAACGTTTTAATTACGTGATTTATTTGATCGGATACAATACATATTGCAGTTATTTATTTCTTATTTTTTTATTATTGCAATGTATTATTGATGACAAAAACATAGTTCCTCTTTTATAACAGCGTAAAAATCAACTTAATATTTTATCGACCAATAACGTTACAGATACGTGACTGATGCGTCACGATATGACATTGCAACAACGTAAGATGGACGTTATTAAAAACAATAACAACGTTGTCCTGACGTCTCTTCTACGTCGTATCTGACGTGACGTAAAATTACATTCTCACAACGTTGCAACAACGTCGTACTAACGTAACGTCAGTCATGACCTTCCAGTGACCAATACATAACGTCGCAAGGACGTCGTGTGTTTCCTGGGTCTGGATCTTTTTAGAAAAATTAGTCTGGGGACATAAATTACTGACATCGACTAAAAATACTAGTAAATTCTGTAACCATGGACCTTTTAAACTAGTAATATGTGTCTACCCGGACACGTTTTACCAGGACTGATTTATCTCTTACATTTAAACCTCAAAATTTACGCTGAGTACTGTCTACTGACAAACATGGTGGCAGTGGTGCATCTAAAAAAAGGTGTAATGGATGTGATTAGGTAGTCTCCCTTTGATAGTTCCAGATTAGTATTTTCTTAATTAAAGGATCATTAGCTACGAGATATAAAAAAATTTAGAATATGATTTTTTATTGTTCAATCATTAATGAAAGTGAAAGAGTGAAATAATAATTCGCTTTTAGCAGCCAGTTTAGTTCAATTTTGTCAAAATAATCTAAGAAACATCGCTGATGAATTATTCACTTGCAAGTAAATAATTCGACCTCATTAAATCCGTATTCATGTGACCTTCAAACTTACCCCTCAGCCATTTAAAGGAAAGATGATGTCAACATTTTAAGTGAAACAAAGGTGATCCATTTCGTTGACTGATTTGATCCACAAAAAATCATTCTTATACAGGTAAAAACGACGATTAACTTACTTTTTGGGGTAAAGATTGCATGAAATACTATCAAAACCCTATGGTACTGACTTGATATCTATATCTTGATATTTCAAACAAAATAGTGCAGTGAAGTGATCACTATTTAGATCCTATCAAGTCAATGTCATGGAATTTATTGATGATATGTTATACTTTGATATTTAAGTTAATATATGATGTGTATTTGAATTACCATACTTCTCAAGAAAACATTTTTTTTTAATTAAAAATTGCATAAGTAATGCATGATCACTTTGGTGTATGAATCCGTTATGAAAATAGGTTCAACTACAAATGTGCAAAAATGTCAATCATAATCAAAGGAAGATAACCTCAACTAAAATTTTTAACTTGCCAAGCAAAATACAATCAATGTTTTATTTAAAAATTCACACAACATGAAATCAAACAGACCTAGAAAAACCCAATTGCACATGGTCGCAATCTATTTATATTTATGTTTATGTTTATATCGGGTTATGTGACCGTCGGCAGTCTTCGAAGGTCATTTCGATGGTTAATTAGATGGCATCTAGACTAAAATAGTTAATATACATACTAGTGCTTCTGACTAAGGCATAATGTTCCTAAGGGCCTATGAATTTCATTAAAGATGTAAAAATACCAGTATTGTAGTCTTTTTAATTCTTTTTTACAATACTGGAAAAAATTTTATTCTAATATTGTAGACAAGAGAAGTTCCAAATCAGTGCTAATGATTTACTTATTGATTGATTGATTAATTGATTAATGTGCTTTACATCCAGTGGCAAATTTAATTCTAATGAAAAGTGGGACTAATTTTAAGACAGTTAAAATAAATGAATCATATCTTTCAGTACTTGATTTGGCAGAAAGTAGAGGTGGTCGTGGTGGTGGAAGATTTGGAGGAAGCAGATTTTCAAGATCCTCTCGAACAAGATATTCTCGAACAAGATATTCTCGATCCAGGATCTCTCGATCCAGCAGATATGGGAGGTTTGCTGTTGCAAGAACTAAATACTCTGGACATCGCCTAAGTTCGTCATCTCTGAAGAAGGCTGCTATCATTGGTGGCACAGTCTATGGCGCTCGATTATGGATGAGGCGGAGCATGTATAGGTCAACGCATACTAAATGTAAGTTACATGGTGAATTTAGAGGGCTCTATAATTATATTATTGTAGTAGGAGTCTGTAGGGCCCTAAAAAAACTTTGATTCATGGACACGATAGAGTAACTTTTTTGTGAATTTTCTTGGATGATCCCCTTCAGGTTAATTATCCTTCCACTTGAAAAAAATTAGCTGTGTGTTATTCTGTTAACTTAAACTCATTAACTAGAGGACTTTTTGGACACTGGGCACCCACCCTACTATATATACCATATCTCCTAATATTCTTATATTGATGAAAGATATTGTAAATTAATACTGCAAGCTACCTTTAACTGCGTCAATGTTTTATATTACCAGAGACATACAAAAAACGATTGGTATTACATGTATAAGTCTCTGTCATGACAAAACAAAACAAGTTCAGGTTCTTGTGAACCTGATGTTCCAGACATTTATCGACTTTCACATACTGAGTGAAGATAAATTTTAGTTTTGGTCTTGGTTAAATATCCTACCACTTGAAAAATAAACCTGATTTGACACCTCAACAGAATAGTTTAAAGGGTAATCCTATGTCAAATATTGTTATATACCCTCAATGCTGAAAGTTTTATTATACATGAAGTATAGTTAATATTGCAGCTGTGCATCTGTCTATCTTTTTTGGCTGGTTGCTCAAAGTGCAAAATAGGCGTATAGAATGACGATGTTGGGCTTGTGGGTGGTTGTGACTCGGTAACTTATTCTTTATTCACCTTTAAGCTAAATTACAAAAAGATGGTACAAGTACCAATTTTGTGTATCAACTCAAACAGTGATGATTTTTTATCTCACCTCGACTAGACTTAGGCTGCTATTTATGATGTCATGGGGAGTGACTTGAAATTTTTGCTACGTTTACATGTTATTAAGTTTGTTATTAGGTCAGTTTAAGTGAAACCAGTAATGTTAAGCCAATGATATTTCATTTGGTATGTAGTTGTATAAGTATTAGCACATCTCATTTTCGTGATGATTATTTGGCCCTTCCACCTCAGTCATGATTCATTGACTGAATTTTTGCATAGTTTGATTCATGTTAAAGTTTATGATTAGGTCCATTTAAGGGGAACCACTTATTATAAGTCAATGATATGTTGCATGCATTTATATTAGCATTGGCATATCTCAATTCCATGGAGATTATTTTGCTCTAAAGCTTCTGTCATGGTTCATTACTTTGGATGTTAAGCATAGTTTACATGTTAAAGTTTGTGATTAGGTCAGTTTTACCCTTATAATAAGTCAATGATATTTGGTATGCAGTTGTATTACCATTGTCATATCTCATTTCCACAGAGATTATTTAGCCTTAAACCTTCAATCATCAACTCTAATGAACTTATTAAAGTTCATTGACTTTTAAAGATGTCTTGCGTATGATCTTTCTGAGAGCATTGTATTCACTACTACTAGTGACTAGTGTAACAGCTGAGGGTCCACTAAAACTATAACTGTTCTTGAAGTATAATCTAATCAATTATTGGATGAGGGATGGTTGTCTCCACCAACTCACTGTGAGACAGGTGATGTATGAATTAATGTTATATGTAAAAACCAGTTATTATTCTATCCATCTTGTATGGGAAAGGATTTATATCAGTCAAGGGTCTAACTTAAATAAGTTATTAGAGAAAAATACATACATTTGTTATTGAGGGCTAAAAAATCAAAAATCTGTAATAACATATGTATGTTACATGTTTCAAAGGGGCATTATACATCCTTAATTTTGTTAAATTGTGTACTAGTTCTATTGATATTATAATTGTTTTTATGTATATTAAACTTTAGAAAGATATAACAGCCCATAGTTTGCCAATCATGCATAACACACCCATGTTATCACAGAAAAAAATATGCCTGTAATAACTAAAGGGTGTTATTACAGCTTCTCTACATCTCTTCAAAGCCTTTTCTCCTACATATATCACAATGTATTTTAATTTATTGTAATAAATAATGATAAGAGCATGTAATGAGGTTCTGCACAAGCTTCCTAGTCATTCCCAAGGGTCTTATGTAATAAGTTTAATGCCTGTAATAACTAAGCCTTGTTATTACAGCTAAGTTATCACTTAAAAGCCTTGTCTCATTGATTTACCATGGTTGATCAAAAATGTATTAATTGAATTGGAAAATTAGTTTTCAAGGTTATGTATTAAGGTACTGTGCAAGTTTCAAGAATTCCCAAGTGCCCACTGAAAATAAAAAAATTTATGGTACATTTAACTGATAACAAACATATGTTACTACAGATTAAGAGAAAGTATCCGTAATAACACATGTATGTTATTTTTATCTAATAACTTATTCAAGTTACACCCTTGACTGTATATAGGCTGAGCCAAAATCCAATCGCTATAATCCATTTAAACAATAAAATATTTGAATTGAAGATGTTTTGCATAGTTTGTAAAATATTGCCATTTCAATATGAAGACTACATACAGGCAAGACATATCTCTGTGTCAACAATTTATTAAGCTTATTCTTGCACAGAAATTGAGAAAAGTTATATTAAGACATATTGTAAGCTCAAAGTATTACTGAGTGATATATACAATTCATACATATAAATAATTCAGAGTCATTTTAGAGGATAAACGTTCAATTTCTTCCTTTTCTTTAATAATTCAATATTGGTAGAATACACTTGGTTTGCACATTTTTGGATACCTTGTCAATTTCTCAGCTTATGTCTGAACAAAGTTCAAAAAATGCATTTTAGTGAAGTGTATTAGTGAATTTAAAAATTTAAATCCTATTCAATCTACATGTATTGCTTAAATAAACACTGTAAGGGGACATGTCACCTATGTTTGTAGAGATAAAGGCTAATTATTATAATATAAACAAATCTGTGTTATAACCTGAATTATAACTTATGAATTAGTGATGTATATATTAGTATATTAAAATTGTGTAAACAATTTATGTTAACTTCCCATAAGCAATGAATTGTTGAAAGGTCATACTTTTCATTACTTAAGAATAATTATTTCCTCTAAATATTGATTATACATTTGAATATAACAAATTTCCAAATTAAATTTTTGCTGCATGTTAACAGTTCAACCTATTAAGACAGAAGGGCAATTTTAATGAATTATAGGAGGATTATATTATCTCTAAATCTTACTTTAAAAACTGATCATATTTTTATACGACCGCAAAAATTGAAAATTTTTTGGTCGTATATTGGTATGACGTTGGCGTCGTCGTCGTCGTCGTCGTTGTCGTCGTCGTCGTCGTCGTCTGGCGTCGTCCGGCGTCGTCCGAAGACACATTGGTTTTCGCACTCTAACTTTAGTTTAAGTGAATGGATCTCCATGAAATTTTACCATAAGGTTCAATACCACGAAAGGAAGGTTGGGATTGATTTTGGGGGTTATGGTACCAACAGTTAAGGAATTAGGGGCCAAAAAGGGGCCAAAAATAAGCATTTTTGTAACTTCCAGACAATAACTTGTGTGTAAGTGTATGGATCTCTCTGACATTATACCACAAGGTTCCATATCACAAAGGGAAGGCTGTAATTGATTTTGGGGGTAATTGCCTCAAAATTTTAGGAATTAGGGGCCAAAAAAGGGGCAAAAAACAAGCATTTTTCTAGTTTCATGACAATAACTTGTGTGTAAGTGTTTGGATATTTCTGAAATTGTACTACAAGGTTCCATATCACAAAGGGAAAGCTGGAATTGAGTTTGGGGGTAATTGCCCTAAACGTTTAGGAATTGGGGGCCAAAAAGGGGCCAAAAATAAGCATTTTTCTAGTTTCCAGACAATAACTTGTGTTCAAGTGTATGGATCTCTCTGAAATTGTACTGCAAGGTACCATACCACAAAGGGAAGGCTGGGATTGAGTTTGGGGGTGATGAATCATAAGGGGGTTCAAAAAATTTGGGGGGGGAATTTTTTTTTTTCTTTTTTTTTCTTTTTTTCCTTTTTTTTTTCTTTTAAAATTTTCCATTTTAAGTTTGTTATTTCTGATTAATATTTAAAAGCAAATAATAATGATATGGTAGGAGATACACACCAAACAGGATGTGTAAATTATTATATAATAAGTATTGTGCAATAGCAAGAAATTTTCAATTGCACAGTATTGCACAATTGCAAGAAATCTTCAATTGCACAGTATTGCGCAATAGCAAGAAATCTTCAATTGCACAGTATTGCGCAATAGCAAGAAATATCCAATAGCACAATATTGCGCAATAGCAAGAAATTGTCAATTGTACAGTATTGCACAATAGCAAGAAATATTCAATTGCACAGTATTGTGCAAAAGAAGATACTTCGTATAAATTGCTTATTTCTTGATCAATTTCAATGGGGTTTTATTCTTGAATTCTTGGGGTTCTTTAATATGCTGAATCTAACCGTGTATTAAGTTTTTGGATTTTGGGCCCCGTTTTTAAATTGGTCCACATTGAGGTCCAAAGGGTCCAAAATTTAACTTTGTTTGATTTCATCAAAAATTGAATTATTGGGGTTCTTTGATATGCTGAATCTAACCGTGTATTTAGATTCTTAATTTTTGGTTCCGTTTTCAAATTGGTCTACATTAAGGTCAAAAGGGTCCAAAATTAAACTTAGTTTGATTTTAACAAAAATTGAATTTTTAGGGTTCTTTGATATGCTGAATCTAAACATGTATTTAGATTTTTGATTATGGGCCCAGTTTTCAAAGTTGGTCCAAATCGGGGTCCAAAATTAAACTTTGTTTGATTTCATCAAAAATTGAATTCTTGGGGTTCTTTGATATGCTGAATCTAACCATGTATTTAGATTTTTAATTTGTGGACCCGCTATCAAATAGGTTCATATTGAGGTCAAAAGGGTCCAAAATTAAACTTTGTTTGATTTCATCAAAAATTGAATTATTGGGGTTCTTTGATATGCCAAATCTAACCGTGTATTTAGATTTTTAATTTTGGGTCCCGTTTTTAAATTGGTCTACATTAAGGTCCAAAGGGTCCAAAATTAAACTTAGTTTGATTTTAACAAAAATTGAATTCTTGGGGTTCTTTGATATGCTGAATCTAAACATGTGTTTAAATTTTTGATTATGGGCCCAGTTTTCAAGTTGGTCCAAGTTGGGGTCCAAAATTAAACTTTGTTTGATTTCAACAAAAATTGAATATATGGGGTTCTTTGATATGCTGAATCTAAACATGTATTTAGATTTTAGATTTTTGGCCCAGTTTTCAAGTTGGTCCAAATTGGGGTCCAAAATTAAACTTTGTTTGATTTCAACAAAAATTGAATATATGGGGTTCTTTGATATGCTGAATCTTACCATGTATTTAGATTTTTTATTTGTGGGCCCGCTATCAAATTGGTTCATATTGAGGTCAAAAGGGTCCAAAATTAAACTTTGTTTGATTTCATAAAAAATTTAATTATTGGGGTTCTTTGATATGCCAAATCTAACCGTGTATTTAGATTTTTTATTTTGGGTCCCGTTTTTTAAATTGGTCTACATTAAGGTCCAAAAGGTCCAAAATTAAACTTAGTTTGATTTTAACAAAAATTGAATTTTTGGGGTTCTTTGATATGCTGAATCTAAACATGTGTTTAGATTTTTGATTATGGGACCAGTTTTCAAGTTGGTCCAAATTGGGGTCCAAAATTAAACTTTGTTTGATTTCAACAAAAATTGAATATATGGGGTTCTTTGATATGCTGAATCTTACCATGTATTTAGATTTTTTATTTTGTGGGTCTGCTATCAAATTGGTTCATATTGAGGTCAAAAGGGTCCAAAATTAAACTTTGTTTGATTTCATCAAAAATTGAATTATTGGGGTTCTTTGATATGCCAAATCTAAGCGTGTTTTTAGATTTTTAATTTTGGGTCCCGTTTTATAAATTGGTCTACATTAAGGTCCAAAGGGTCCAAAATTAAACTTAGTTTGATTTTAGCAAAAATTGAATTCTTGGGGTACTTTGATATGCTGAATCTAAACATGTGTTTAGATTTTTGATTATGGGACCAGTTTTCAAGTTTGTCCAAGTTGGGGTCCAAAATTAAACTTTGTTTGATTTCAACAAAAATTGAATATATGGGGTTCTTTGATATGCTGAATCTAGCCATGTATTTTGATTTTGGACATTGGACCATAATAGGTAAATTAAAAAAATTGAAGTTCTTAGACCACATTTTTTCTGTGTCAGAAACCTATGCTGTGTCAAATATTTAATCACAATCCAAATTCAGAGCTGTATCAAGCTTGAATGTTGTGTCCATACTTGCCCCAACTGTTCAGGGTTTCGACCTCTGCGGTCGTATCAAGCTGCGCCCAGCGAAGCATTTTATTCCATGTATGTTCATGTTTGTCTTAGAATTTACAATTCAATGCTTTTTCAAATTAAATACACTATTTAAAAAGAGTCTCAAATAAGTGAACTTATAAATTAAGATATTAGTCTTCTTAAATATCTAATTACATATATGTATTGCATTTTTTATTGATCATCCATTCATTGTATCCCTTTAAAGTTCATATACTATAAATTCAGAAATTTTTGTGATGTTTTTTAAATTTTATTATTGCAAAAAATGCAACGAGGTAGGTGATGCAAAAATAAAACGGCTGATTTTAAATTTATATAGCATTATCTGTATGAATCATTTCCTTTAATCGCAATGATTGAACACCCATTTGTGTCAATTGTTTAACAATCACAATGATTGAACACCCATTTGTGTCAATTGTTTAACAATCACAATGATTGAACACCCATTTGTGTCAATTGTTTAACAATCACAATGATTGAACACCCATTTGTGTCAATTGTTTAACAATCACAATGATTGAACACCCATTTGTGTCAATTGTGTAACAATCACAATGATTGAACACCCATTTGTGTTAATTGTTTAACAATCACAATGATTGAACACCCATTTGTGTCAATTGTTTAACAATCACAATGATTGAACACCCATTTGTGTCAATTGTTTAACAATCACAATAATAAATGCATGCAATAACTTCTGAATTTAGAGTTTTGCCAAGTAAAACATGGTAAAATCCTGTAAAAACTGTTTTCCCAGTATTTCCCACTCAGCTGGGCAATATTCATAAAAACTTCAGTTGATGCCAAACCTGATAACTACTGCTGTCTTTCTGTTCAACCATTTAAAGTATGTTATGTTTTACAACTCGAGAACACCTTTGGTGGATTTCCTTGTAACTTTCACTAATGCTGTGAACTATTTAGGTCAATATCCCTGATAGACTCAACTATAAATAGAAATAAAAAAACCTGTATGCAAGCAATTGGACATGATGCTATTTTTAGTAATTGACTGAGCTTAAGCATTTGTGTTTTTTTGAAGAGCAGAAGACTGTATAATAAAGATGTAAAAACTTTGGAGTTCTTAAATGTTTGTAAAGAACTGAATTTCCAGAGAATTTAACTGTGTGAAAATAGGGACTTTTCACTCGCTGAAGCACATCAAGATGGGCCTTTTGGGGGGTTGCCCAGTTTGTGAAATCTAATTTCACTTCGTACCCCAAAAATTAAACCACATCTGTGAAAATGTCTCAGCTTTGAAAAGAGCCATCATATATATCCAAGTTTACGATATGCGCAGAGGAATTGAGGAAAAGGCTACCATTACCGCCTACCTGAAATGAATTGCACATTTTCAGCCATTTATTTGATGAACCTATCTATTTTGACCATTTTCATTAGAATGTTTATACAGTTACGGTAAAACACAGAATAACAGTTGATTTGATTTGAAGTGTTGTCATGAATCATTTCAAGTACTGTGAGTTCATTATTATTTGTACATGTGAGACACCAATTTTCGTGGATTTTGAGGGTATAAGTGAACCATGAATTTAAAAATTTAATGAAGTACAAATTTTCTATAGACTAACTTTGTCAAAAGCAGGAAATCAAATATCTATGAAAATACAATTTTTCCTCCATCCACAAATGAATTTACAGTATCTTCTATCTAGAACAAGCTTTATTGATTATTTTAGATCCTGAGGTTTGTTACAATGATGTGTATGAAGGTAATACTACCCAGAGATACTTTGGCAGATTTGTTTGTCCTGGATACGGAGATCCTGATGACTATGCTTATTGCTGTGGTGATATTGGGATACAGTACTGTTGTAAATTTTTTGACACAAGGTTAGTAATTTTAATCAATTTTCTTTGCTAGTTTATACCTTTCATGAACTGTAATTATACTCCTATTAGTCGAGTGGGGCTAAATTTCACCTTCTCCGTCTGTCTGTTTGTTTAACAAATATTCTTGTCACACTTTTCTCAGGTACTTATAGTGCTACTGAACAGAATTACTCTTTGTTTGGCTAGCAGCTTAAAAGTGATCAGTTATGTGTGAATCCTTTTCGGATCTGTCAGAAATCTACTTCTTCTTAGCTGTTTCTTTGAATTTATAGGTCACCTGGTCCAAAGATCCAAGTGAGCTTTTCTCATCACTTGGCGTATGTTGTCGTCGTTTAACTTTTACAAAAATCTCCTCTGAAACAACAGGGCCAAATTTAACCAAACTTGGCCACAATCATCATTGAGGTATTAAGTTAAAAAAATATGTCCAATGACCCCGCCTGCCAACCAAGATGGCGGACATGGCTAAAAATTAAACATAGGGGTAAAATGCAAGTTTTGTCTATTATTTTGAAAACCGTTACGAATAGAGAAAATCTGACAGGGGCAGAAATTTTCAGAATGTTGAGCCCCACCAATTGTCTATATACGTCAAAACTGTCAGACGACTTCTTATAGGAGTTATTGCCCTTAAATGACAAATTTTACCATTTTTTTTCATTTTTGCCTATTATCTTGAAAACTATAACAGATGGAGAGAAACTTTAAAATGCAAAAATAATCAACAAGACAAGTTCTACAAATAAGTCTCATGGTTGAAATCGTCAGTCGACTCCTTATTAGAGTTAATGCCCTTTGATGATTGTTACCAATGTTTTGCGTTTTTGCCTTATATCTAAAAAATTATAATAGATCTACAAGTAAGACAATATGGAGGAAATCGTCTGACGACTCATTATTGGAGTTATTGCCCTTTAATTTTTTTACCATTTTTTTTGCGTTTTGCCTTATATGATAAAAATTATAATAGATAAATAGACCCTATAAATCACAAAAAATGATCAGCAAGTCAAATTTTGCTGATATAATTAGTAGACTGTCACTCTTTATAGGAGTGATTGCCCTTAAAGGGAAAATTCACGATTTTTTACCTATCATCTTATTATGTTCATAATACCATAAAAAAACATATTCACCAAGTTTTATCTGGATATGAACTCTAATAAAGAAGAAAATTAGGAATTATTAATTTTATTTATTCGAACTTCCTGACTTCTGTGACGTAGTTTAAGTCTAATTGCAGGACGGGAGTGGATTTAATCTCATGTTAAGTCTTATTCATTAATCATCTGATAATGCGATTTAAAGCGCATCGACGACTATTTTGCGTATCTAATAACCAACTAATAATTAAGTGAGTAAAGTGATCAGCCATGCAACTTTTTAAATCAAAATGTACGATTTATATTTTAGGGATTTCTGATATGATCATTGTAATAAAAGTAAATCATACAATAGAATATTTTTATGAATTTTTTTCCGAAGGATATGATGAAAAAAAACATTTATAACTGATAGTGTAATAAAAATGCATGTTTGTATTCTCACCTTTTACTTCAGTCAAGGATTTGTCTTACTATACAAATCCTTGCTCAGTCTAGCAAACATTTCCCACTAGTACTGTGTAAATACAATGTGTACTATACTGACACTACCTGGTAAAGGCGTGGTTAAATTCACGATAATTAAAAGATTAGCATTATGTAATTTTAATCTTTTGATCTTCACTAGAGTGTTGTTTGGCCTCAAGGGTTCACCGTTTCAGGTGTGAAAAACATAAAAAAAAATGATAAAAGAGAAGTGTGCGAGTTTTGAGACAGAAAAAAAATATATATTTGGGGAGGAATATGGTGGCAAAATACCTGAATCGCCGTTATATATTTTTTTAATATTTTGCGTTAGCTCAGTTTTTAAATAAATAGGTTAGTATTTTGTTGTAACATCGAAATTCTGAATTACTTACAATTAAATAATTCTATAAATAAAAATCACCCATGAAAACGAGCGTATAAACCAAAAACTGTAATATTTTAAATTATCATCGGTAACCTTGAATATTTAAATGTGCAGAGAAAATTATATCAGTTATATTAATATAGTTTGGTCCGTCCAAAGGGATTTACATTTACCTAATCGGGAATGCCCTTATTAAAATATTTTAAATCTCACGATGTAGAAATACTTTAGCTATTTGACCAATGATGTTTAAAAAAAATCAACAGAATCAATCTAAGGTCAACTTTCCTTTTTTGAATGGAGACAGACCGGCGGAATAAATTTTCAATGTGCTTTATATCTTGTACCTTTGCAAGGCTTATCATTCATTCATAAACCCACTCTAAACCAGAGACATATATACACATATATATGTCGGTCTAAAATGACAAGAATACTCCTAAAGTGGACAAGCAGTATATTCTTTAAATTTCTGTGATTCAATACCAAGAAAGAAAAAAATTCCGAAATTAATTTGATACTCAATATTTTTCCTGGAAAATATTCACATCCACATTCGGTCTGAAAATAAGATAAGACTTTAGTATACAGAACATGCAGAAGTGTGAATGTAATAAAACCTTGTTATATCAGAAACCATTATAAATGTGAACCTGTATACGTAAAGTAGCTCTGTTATACCTTAATCATTACCGATACAGAATGTACCAATGCAAAGTAAATTCTGATGATTGTGAAGCATGACCATTCATGATTTTAGAGGAATCTTAGGTGGGGGATTGCCAGAACGATTTAAATTCTGACTAGATTTTTTCTCTCAATTTAAATCACTGAAATAAAAAAAAAAGAAAGAAAACTACGTCCAAGAACAGAATTATTCTTGTAAATTCATAAATACATCGTTCTTATTTTGTAACTTTCAATAGACTTGACCTCCAACCCCCTCCTTGAGAACAATATATCTAACAATGTATATGTTCCTGCCCACATAAAAAAAAAAAAAAAAATAAAGAGATGAACGGTAAGTCACATCAGATTCAGATATTTATATAGTTGATTGTCGTTAACTAGAGATGCATACATGTCTCTGCGTTAACTTATAAAAATAACAGGAAAATATAAACTTGAAATAGATTGATGATGAATACTATGCAACTGCGGCACCCCTTTTTATCACAGCGTACATGCATGTATTTTAATGACTGTCCGTTATTTCGATTAAGAATGACAATTGTACCTAAAATCCTATAGTTGGTGAGACTTTTTCTACCAGATATGCGACTTTTCGTATTTATATTTTCTCTTATATAACTCTCATTTAATTTTTTATGCATAAGTGCAATATTGGGAATGGTTTATTCCCCCACAAGCTAACTAAATAAATTAATCAACCCCCTAGCTGATCAGACGTTAATACAACTACTATCAGTCTATCCCAAGTGAAGTTTCTTTATTTCTTCAAATATAGGCTTTTTGGGGATCATTAGTGTACGTCCAGTGGCATATATATAACATGCATGTCGGAACAGGAAAATTGACATAAGGTACTAATAGAACCATGTTCACATTATTATACATTATACCCAACAATTGTGATGATGACGAATTTCTTAAACTGTTCGAGAACAATCTAATTGAAATATAAATCTGTGATTTTACTATGTCCATAACTTCGATGAACCAAAGTAAGTTTGATATCGACCTGTATTTAATTCAGATTGGTTCTGGATGTTTCTCTCTTATATTCAATATACATGTTTATATTTTAAATTGCAGCTATCTATAGTTCCGTAACTTTCTATCTAGGCGTATAAACCAATGATCGACAAGTGCGTACATTTTTGTTAAATCAATATTTGTATGTTCAAAATGTCCATAATTATTGACAACGAGTATATACTTACATTTTCCCAAATTTACCCATGAAAAATATGTAAATAGATTTTTATTTTATCAAATCTTTTTTTGGAATTATTTAGATTTTCATAAATATTATTCTTTACACCAGAAATGTTATTTGTAAACAAGAGTATGAGTTTAGTAATGACTATAATATATCACTATCGGACACGCAAGACAAAGATGTATATTACACCTGATAGTTTTAAAATGGAAAGTTACAAGTTATCGCCCGTGTACACTGATCAATACCCTCAGAAGTGAAGCAATGCATGAACTTGCATTATGTAATTGTATAATAAGAATTTTTTAGCCCGACAGGAAATTGCTTGAATACCTGGACGTGTCACCTCACAATACCCCTGGGACTAATTCCTTTGGCCATGCTGGTGATCAGATAAGGGAAAGTCCGAATTTATTTAAATAAGTTTTATTATATAAAACTAAAAGAAATATGAACAAATTAGATTTTCAAAAACAATCTTACATGGAACACTTATTTTTTATTTGAACTTAAAAGTTTGACTATTTAACTAATTCCCATTTAAATTTCTTGTTTCAAAAACGACAGACCATAGATATTTAAAAAAAATAATTACATTTTCCGTATCAAGTTAGTTAGGAAAGGTTGCACAACCATGTCTATTATAATCATTTTTGTGACCCGGTTAACTGTTTATGCTTTCCCTGTCGAATAAAACAATCGTACGCTTGACAAGATATGGACACTCAATAACGACTACGTTAGGTTACTGCTGGTTTTGGTCCTTTGTGGTTTATAGATATCAAGTGGTTTCGTAAACCGGAAAGATGACAAAATGGTCGCATATAGAGAATTGATACTCTCAATTTAAAAAGATGGTGATCTCTTATCTATCAGAATAAAACTTTAATATTTATGAATTTGTGCTTTTTTATACATAATGAACATAATATCACTTTTTCATTTTTTTGCGAAGTTTCCCTTTAAATGAGGATTTTTTTTTACCCTCTTTTGTATTTTGAGCAAAAACTAATGAAGATAGAGAGAAACTAAACAGACTAAATGATCAGCAATACAAGATCAACAAAACAGAGATTTTTGTCATGAATTCTATTCTTGTCTATAATGTTGGAGAGTGTCCTTTGTTGAATATGCACATAGACCAAGGTGAGCGACACAGGCTCTTTAGAGCCTCTAGTTTATGTTTAATAAAATTTTTAATTATCTTCACAAATATCTCCTATACATTTTGTTTTCCAATAATACTGAGCAGAATAACTTCATATTTGGCTAGCACCTCAACAGGAATGATTTGTAATGTGTGTGCATGTTTCAGATATGTTACACACCTACTTCCTGTTTTTCAACACTTTGAATTACAAGTGGGGTAGACACTGCATGCATTCTTGTTTGGTAGTTTTTCTGTTTGGAAAAAATGTAAAGATAGCATGTAATCTCTGAACATGATTTGATAAAATTTTCGAATTGCATTGCAATTTAAAAGAAATTTATATGTAAATTTAGTGATCTTTTGAATGTGACCCATGTGCATATATGTTTAGCACAAAAATGTTTTATAAAGAGTTGAAGTATACTTTGTCAGACATTATGTACAACTTCTTAGTATATAGGGTGCAATCAACAGTTTTTTTCTATGACGTCATATTTTAAGGGACCATGCATAAGTGACCCTTAGTGGTGGAATGGTTAATAAAGATACTTGTATAAAACTAAATATCACTGGAATCAGAATTTTCTCTAGTTTATAATGAAATAAAAATAAAGTGTACTTTTAATACAATAAAAAAGTTCTTTTCAGAGAGCATGGGGTAAAAATTGCCTAATCTGAACATAAAAAACCTGAAATCAGGTCATGTGCATACCCATGTAGACATGATACAGGCACATTTCACATAATCAAAACTGTATGAAATTCATAGGTTTTTACCTGGCCTTTCAAAAAAATCTTGCTTCAGGGTATGGTTTCCTGCTTCGAAAAGAGCTACAGTGGCTGCAAATAAGTTTTCAATTTTCACTGCCAAAAAAACAGGATGTTTACAGTGTTGTCTCCCCTCAAAACATGTATATTTAATCTAATTTTTAAAATTATTTTAATCATTCAACCTGTTTTAATTGAAAGCTAATTAACTAATTTTTACAATCAAATACAAAAAACATGATACTTTTTCACCAATTAAGTAAATAAAAAGGAATTTCCCTCCATGGTTATTTTTAGTCAGGGAATAACCCGTAGTTTTTTTATACAAAACTGTTTATACATGGAATGATGTTTCTATATACCATTTTTGCAGGATAAAGCTTAAGACTTGTAGACTTTGTCAATAACACATTGAATGTCTAAACATTTCTTCTTGTGTATTTAGAACAAAGTTTAAAAAAAAAAGAATGTTCATAGTTGGTGTCATTATTTGCTAATATATCTTTCATATAACTGTATATTTGTTCTTAGAACCTATAGTACACAGATGGTGCATATAACGAGGGTAATTGAGTTGTCTGATGGAAGTTTAGTTGTGTATTATACATGTAATTGAGTTGTCTGATGGAAGTTTAGTTATGTATTATACATGTAATTGAGTTGTCTGATGGAAGTTTAGTTATGTATTATACATGTAATTGAGTTGTCTGATGGAAGTTTAGTTGTGTATTATACATGTAATTGAGTTGTCTGATGGAAGTTTAGTTGTGTATTATACATGTAATTGAGTTGTCTGATGGAAGTTTAGTTGTGTATTATACATGTAATTGAGTTGTCTGATGGAAGTTTAGTTGTGTATTATACATGTAATTGAGTTGTCTGATGGAAGTTTAGTTGTGTATTATACATGTAATTGAGTTGTCTGATGGAAGTTTAGTTATGTATTAAACATGTAATTGAGTTGTCTGGGTGAAGTTTAGTTGTGTATTAAACATGTAATTGAGTTGTCTGGGTGAAGTTTAGTTGTGTATTAAACATGTAATTGAGTTGTCTGGGTGAAGTTAAGTAGTGTTTTGTACATTGTAATTGAGTTGTGTGATTGAAGTTTTTAGTTTGTTTTATACGTTGAAATTGAGTTGTCTGATTGAAGTTCAGTTTGTATTGTACATTGAATTGAGTTGTCTAACTTTTTAGTTGCGTACTGTAATTGTGTTGTCTATTTATAGTAGTCCACAAGGAGCTGGTAGGACAGCAGGTGTAGTGATTGGTGTATTAATTGCAGTAGGAATTGTTGGTGTTCTGGCATACTGTTGTTTCAAGAAAAGGAAGTCTTTCCAGGGAAAAACACTCTCTAGTAAGTATTTCTTTATACACAGGCACTATATACTGGTACCTAGAATTTGAGATTAATGTTAAAGTATATGTTTACCCTGGGGCAGGAGCCATGGGGCTGAAAAATAAAGATCTACAAATCATTTTATCACTTTTAATATTTTGAGGGTGCTTGAAATCATTTTTTATACGGCCGTTTACGGGACGTATTATGGTATACCATTGTCCGTCTGTCCGTCGTCAACATGTCGGACATTAACTCAAAAATGCTTTAACCAATTTGCATAAAACTTTGGTGAATTGTTTATATCTATTGACGTGAGCTCCCTTTTATTTTTTAGTTTTTTATAAAATTTAGATTTTATGTTTCCGAGTTATGGGGTTTTATTCATTAAAAAAAGGGGGATTTTCCAGTTTTCGGACAATAAGTCAAGAATGCTTTCACCAACTTGCAAGAAATTGTGGTGAATTGTTTATATCTATTGACATGAGCTCCCTTTTGATTTTTATAAATTATAGATTTTATGTTTCCGAGTTACAGGGTTTTATTCATAAAAAAAGGGGGGATTTCCAGTTTTCGGACAAAAACTCAAAAATGCTTTCAGCAATTCTTATGAAACTTTGGTGAATTGTTTGTATGTATTGATGTAAGCTCCCTTTAGAATTTTATAAATTTTACATTTTACATTTCTGAGTTATGGGGTTTTATTCATTAAAAAACGGAGTGATTTTCCAGTTTTCGGACAATAACTCAAAAATGCTGTCCCAAATTCTCATGAAACTTTGGTGAATTGTTTATATCTATTGATGTAAGCTCCCTTTTTATTTTCATAAATTTCTGATATGACATTGAGAATTAATTGAACTTTATTTGTTTATAGTCTGACAACAGATTTACTAAGTATTGCACAACAGCAAGAAATCTTTAATTGAATATAAATTCAATTTATATAACCAATTTCAAGTTCTTTGACTACATTTATTCAGAAACCTATAATATGTCAAATATTTAATTACAATCCAAATTCAGACCCAAATCAAGCTTGAATAGATGTGGTAGGATTGTCAATGAGACATCTATCTATCAAAGATGAAAGAATCAGAATGTAGATGTGGTAGGATTGTCAATGTGACATCTATCTATCAAAGATGAAAGGATCAGAATGTAGATGTGATAGGATTGTCAATGAGACATCTATCTATCAAAGATGAAAGGATCAGAATGTAGATGTGGTAGGATTGTCAATGAGACATCTATCTATCAAAGATGAAAGGATCAGAATGTATATGTGGTAGGATTGTCAATGAGACATCTATCTATCAAAGATGAAAGGATCAGAATGTAGATGTGGTAGGATTGTCAATGTGACATCTATCTATCAAAGATGAAAGGATCAGAATGTAGATGTGGTAGGATTGTCAATGTGACATCTATCTATCAAAGATGAAAGGATCAGAATGTAGATGTGGTAGGATTGTCAATGTGACATCTATCTATCAAAGATGAAAGGATCAGAATGTAGATGTGGTAGGATTGTCAATGAGACATCTATCTATCAAAGATGAAAGGATCAGAATGTAGATGTGGTAGGATTGTCAATGTGACATCTATCTATCAAAAATGAAAGGATCAGAATGTAAATGTGGTAGGGTAGGATTGTCAATGTGACATCTATCTATCAAAGATGAAAGGATCAGAATGTAGATGTGGTAGGATTGTCAATGAGACATCTATCTATCGAAGATGAAAGGATCAGAATGTATATGTGGTAGGATTGTCAATGAGACATCTATCTATCAAAGATGAAAGGATCAGAATGTAGATGTGGAAGGATTGTCAATGTGACATCTGTCTATCAAAGATGAAAGGATCAGAACGCAAACAACTACAGGTATTACTGACTGCTCATCCTGCAATATTTTGTTATGCCCCACCTAGGGACATTATGTTTTTCGGTCTGTGCCCCCGTTCGTTTGTCCATCTGTCCGTGTGTCCCGCCTCAGGTCAAAGTTTTTGGTCAAGGTAGTTTTTGCTGAGGTTGAAGTCCAATCAACTTGAAACTTAGTACACATGTTCCCTATGATATGATCTTTCTAATTTTAATGCCAAATTAGAGTTTTGACCCCAATTTCACGGTCCACTGAACATAGAAAATGATAGTGCGAGTGGGGCATCCATGTACTATGGACACATTCTTGTTTATTTTTGGTTAAATCTTGATAAAAGAAAACTAATGTATATTGATACTTCAGAATTTAATGCAATGTTATTTTGTAATGTGAAAAATGTGACACTGTCAACATCAGTGTAATTTAAACTCTCATTGTATTTTTTATACGACCGCAAAAAAATTTTTGTGGTCGTATATTGGTATGACGTTGGCGTCGTCGTCGTCCGGCGTCGTCGTCCGAATACCTATTAGTTTTCGCACTCTAACTTTAGTTTAAGTGAATGGATCTCAATGAAATTTTACCATAAGGTTCAATACCACAAAAGGAAGGTGGGGATTGATTTTGGGGGTTATGGTACTAACAGTTAAGGAATTAGGGGCCAAAAGGGGCCAAAAATAAGCATTTTTGTAACTTCCAGACATTACTTGTGTGTAAGTGTATGGATCTCTCTGACATTGTACCACAAGGTTCCATATCACAAAGGGAATGCTGGGATTGATTTTGGGGGTAATTGCCTCCAAATTTTAGGAATTGGGGGCCAAAAAGGGGCAAAAAACAAGCATTTTTCTAGTTTCATGACAATATCTTGTTTGTAAGTGTATGGATCTTTATGAAATTGTACTACAAGGTTCCATATCACAAAGGGAATACTGGGATTGATTTTTGGGGTAATTTCCTCCAAATTTTAGGAATTAGGGGCCAAAAAGGGGCAAAAAACAAGCATTTTTCTAGTTTCATGACAATAACTTGTTTGTAAGTGTATGGATCTTTATGAAATTGTACTACAAGGTTCCATATCACAAAGGGAAGGCTGGGATTGATTTTGGGGGTTTTCCCTCAAAATTTTAGTAATTAGGGGCCATAAAAGGGCAAAAAAAACATGCATTTTTCTAGTTTCAGGACAATAACTTGTGTGTAAGTGTATGGATCTTTATGAAATTGTACTGCAAGGTTCCATATCACAAAGTGAAAGCTGGAATTGAGTTTGGGGGTAATTGCCCTAAACGTTTAGGAATTTGGGGCCAAAAAGGGGCCAAAAAACAAGCATTTTTCTAGTTTCCAGACAATAACTTGTGTTCAAGTGTATGAATCTCTCTGAAATTGTACTGCAAGGTACCATTTCACAAAGGGAAAGCTGGGATTGAGTTTGGGGGTGATGAATCATAAGGGGGTTCAAAAAATTGGGGGGGATTTTTTTTTCCTTTTTTTTCTTTAACATTTTCAATTTTAAATTGGTTATTACTGATTTATATATAAAAGCAAATAATAATGATATGGTTTGAATAGGCATACATGTGAACCTCCCGACGGGAGTACAATAATCCCGTTTTCAGGGGTCTCCTCCCGACCTCCCGTTGAAGAATGAAAAATTTCTGCCCAACATATCATCTCAGGCATCTGGTGTAACTGACATTACCTGAAGTTATATTTTACCTGTAAATCAATTAACATGCATAATTATATGGCTTCACTTGTCAGCTTGGGTGTCAAACATACAGGTAATCAACGATTTTTACCTCAGGCTAACTGCCGTTGTGTAACAAAAACTGTGTATTTATTGGGTTACTTCCCTTGATTTATCCTGTTTTAAGTTACTTTCCTTTTAATAATGAAAATTTTTAAAAGAATATAAATAAAATATAAATTGAACAAATAATCATAAAAGGATGGTTATTAAATGATTTTAAATGTTTTAGGACAAATAAAAAAATAATAATTTGAAAATTATTTGAGGATTCTAGACTTCCTTTCAAGGCTTAAATTGAAATTTATATAATAACTATGACCCTAAAATTTCAGATAAAAGGATTTTCTGAGTTTGCAAATAAAAACTATATGCAAGAGAAAAAAAAAAAATAAGAACTATTTGCAAATAGCTAAACAAATGTTCTGGTTGCAATGATTGTTTTATAGAATATGAAGTAAAAAATTTAAAGAACATACTGGAAAAATACAATGTTAGATTGAACATGTAGAATATAAAGATGGAGAAACTTTATAAGTACAAGGGTACTATAAACATAATAAATTGGATGGAAAGTTGAAGAAAACACACTTTAAAAGACCATTTTTACAGCACACGGTTACATTTACAACAAAATTAATGTCGATTAAAAACCTCCTGATCTGAGTCCTAATCTCCTGACCAAAATTTCCCAATCTCCTGATCTGAGTTTCACAGTCCATCACATGTATGAATAGGTAAATTGAAAATTTTTAAGTTCTTAGACCACTTTCATTCTGTGTCAGAAACCTATGCTGTGTCAAATATTTAATTACAATCCAAATTCAGTGCTGTATCAAGCTTGAATGTTGTGTCCATACTTGCCCCAACTGTTCAGGGTTCGACCTCTGCGGTCGTATCAAGCTGCGCCCCAGCGGAGCATTTTATTAAAATAATATTTAACTATAGCAGAAACTGGAACCATATTTATAAATATATTTTCACCCTCCATTGTCAAAGATTCAAAGGAAAGTTTGATTTGAATTTACAGTGGATATTTCTATCGAGGTATTTCTAGCTGACTTTGCCATATGGCATTTTTTCAAGACTACCTTTCATGGCCAAGAACCTAAAATATAATTGTATCCCATGGCCAGGATAATAACTTACTATATGGTTCAGAAATTCAGAGTTTGAATTAACATGATTAACCTATGTTGAATTACAAAAATAGGTTGTCAAACTGTATTGAACTTTCAGGGCAGACTGTCACATGAAGTTCGTTTAAAACTCCACTAGCATTCAAACCTCTTGTGCATTTAAATTACTTAAATTACTGTTGAAGAAATCAGTAGAGCATAGAGCATGACCTGTGTAACAAACTAATATTCTTCTATTAAGGAATGTTGTTACAACTGCATACCTATCTCAGATCATCATTTTGTTTTCACTCTTATCAGACATTTTAATGCACTACAATGCATTTGTAAATTATGTTTTTATTAATGACATACGTGTATGTATGTTTTGTTTTTTACTGAAGGGCATTTTGTGTGAAGGCCAAATTTTTGTTAAAATTATTTACCACATCTCTAGACTTGGTAAACATATTACATGTAATTAAGACATTTGTACACTGTTAAAGCATGTCATAACCTAGATATTATATTTTTTGCTCACCTGGTCTAGAGCTTTTCTAATCATTTACAACTTTCTATAAACTTTTTGGATTCCAATGAAAAACTATAGGTCAATTGAAAACAAACTTGGTCAGAATCAGCCTTTGGTTTTTTGTCGAGCCTGCGACTTCTGTCGCAGAAAGCTAGACATAGGGATAGTGATCTGGCGGCGGCGTTAGTTCACTTCTTAACAGCTTTATATTTTAGAAGTTGGAAGACCTGGATGCTTCATACTTTGTATATAGATGACTTATGTTACGAAGTTTCCGTCTTGTCATATGTCCATTGTCCTTGACCTCATTTTCATGGTTCAGTGACCACTTGAAAAAAAAGTTAAGATTTTTTGTAATGTTAATTTCTTTCTTATTATGATTAATAGGATAACTATATTTAGTATGTGCGTACCTTGCAAGGTCCTCATGCCCACCAGACAGTTTTCATTTAACCTCAACCTCATTTCATGGATTAGTGAACAAGGTTAAGTTTTGGTGGTCAAGTCCATATATCAGATACTATAAGCAATAGGTCTTCTATATTTGGTGTATGGAAGGATTGTAAGGTGTACATGTCCAACTAGCAGATGTCATCTGACCTTGACCTCATTTTCATGGTTCAGTGGTCAAAGTTAAGTTTTTGAGTTTTGGTCTTTTTTTCTAATACTATATGCCATAGGTCAACTATATTTGGTGTTTTGTTTATATTTTATGATGCACATGTCAGTCTCACAGGTTTTAATTGACCTTGACCTCATTTTCATGGTTCATTGCTCGGTGTTAAGTTTTTGTGATTTGGTCTGTTTTTCTTAAACTATAAGCAATAGGTCAACTATATTTGTTGTATGGAATGATTGTAAGGTGTAAATGTCTGTCTGGAAGGTATCATCTGACCTTGACCTCATTTTCATGGTTCATTGGTCAAGGTTAAGTTTTCATGGTTAAGTTTGTTTCTTAGATACTATAAGCAATAGGTCAACTATATTTAATGCATATATTTATTGTAAGGTGTACATGTCTGTCTGGCATGGTTCATCTGACCTTGACCTCATTTTCATGGTTCATTGGTCAATGTTTAGTTTTCTTGGTTAAGTCTATTTCTTAGAAACTATAAGAAATAGGTCAACTATATTTGGTGTATTGAATGATTGTAAGGTGTAAGGTGTACATGTATTTCTTGTTTGGTTTATCTGACCTTGGCCTAATGAGGATCATGTTAAGTTTTATGTGATACTTGTAGTAAAGCTTTATATTTAGGACTATCAACATAAAATCAATGGTTAGTAAAGAAGGCAAGACATTTCAGAGTCTGCACTCTTGTGATTTCTTGTACCTTTGACATAATTATAGAAATTTGATATTGGAGAAATTTTGCAAATAAGGTTTTTCTTCTTCTATGCCTTCTTTCTATTTGTTGAGCTCATATTTGGTTGATAATTGTAAGATTATTTTCAGATCATGTATGAGTTATTAGTTTCATGAGAATAATAGTTTTCTACTATGTTGTCACCCCCCTGTTAAGATAATGAATTTCAAGGTGGGGTATGCTTTGCTAAACAAGGCTTGCAACTTCTTGTTGCAGTTTGTAATACTAGGCTGTGTAATCATTATTGATACAGAATTTTCTGTGAACTGTCTCACCACTGAAGTAAAGATCACAATAGGAGCAGTTAAGTGTTGTTGAAATGGAAAGTTTGTTAGCAGTTAGTGTTACTGTAGAATTTGTGTAGAAATGGGAGGTTTGCAAGCAGATACTGCACTATTTTTTGACAGATGACTTTAGGAGTTTCTTCAAGGGAACAGCAGACCTGCCAACTTTTATGATCTATGGAGGATTTCCCCCATAAGAGGTGTTGACTTGAATTATGAAATTCTTTGTTACATAAACTGAACACCTCAAAACAGGCATTCAAATGAGTTAAATGGTATTCAATCACATTCATACTCATTCAAGCAATATAGTAGAAGATTAAAAACTGACAGGAACCGCACTGGGCTTTGCAAATGTTGCAAATTGCGATTTTTAAACACTTATGACAATATTAGAGAAGCAATTTTTTCGATGCATTATTAGCTCACCTGGCCCGAAGGGCCAAGTGAGCTTTTCTCATCACTTGGCGTCCGTCGTCCGTCGTCGTCGTCGTCGTCGTCGTCCGTCGTCGTTAGCTTTTTACAAAAATCTTCTCCTCTGAAACCACTGGGCCAAATTTAACCAACTTGGCCACAATCATCATTAGGGTATCTAGTTTAAAAAATGTGTCCGATGACCCGGCCAACCAACCAAGATGGCCGCCATGGCTAAAAATAGAACATAGGGGTAAAATGTAGATTTTGGCTTATATCTCTGAAACCAAAGCATTTAGAGTAAATCTGACATAGTGTAAAACTGATTATCAGGTCAAGATCTATCTGCCCTGAAATTTTCAGACAAATCTGACAACCTGTTGTTGGGTTGCTGCCCCTGAATTGGTAATTTTAAGGAAATTTTGCAGTTTTTGGTTATTATCTTGAATATTATTATAGATAGAGATAAACTGTAAACAGCAATAATGTTCAGCAAAGTAAGATCTACAAATAAGTTGTCATGACCAAAATTGTCAGTCGACCCCTTTAGGAGTTATTGCCCTTAATAGTCAATTTTTAACAATTTTTTGTAAATTTTTGTAATCTTTTACAAAAATCTTCTTTTCTGAAACTACTGAGACAAATTTAACCATACTTGGCCATAATCATTATAAGGGTATCTAGTTTAAAAAATTTGTCCGATGACCCCGCCTTCTAACCATCATGGCTGACTTGGTTAAAAATAGAACATAGGGGTAAAATGCAGTTTTTGGTTTATATCTCTGAAACTAAAGCATTTAGAGCAAATCTGACAGGTGGCAAAAATGTTCATCAGATTTAGATTTATCTGCCCTGATACTTTCAGACGAATCCGACAACCCGTTGTTGGGTTGCTGCCCATAAGTTAGTAATTTTACAAAAATTTTGCAGTTTTTTGTTATTATCTTAGATATCATTATAATATCTAATATCTAATACTATTAATTATGATTTTAACCTTATTTTACATGATTTCCAAAGCATCAGTTAATACAGGTGAGCGACACAGGCTCTTGAGAGCCTCTAGTTTTAACATTGTCACGGATAGCATGTGCATTCATAACTCTTGTATTTTATATGGAAATAAAATATGACATTTAAGTGCCTCACAATTGTTGTCAGCCAATAAAAAATTTAAATTACTGATTCTATTAATGAAAAATACATGTTATGTAATTATATAACCTTGAAGACATAAATATGAAAAATGATGATCTGAGTAAAGACTCTTCAGCTTTTTGCGAATGTTGCTTAAAATATCATATAATTCTAGAATTGTTTAGCATGTGCATATTTTATATATAATGTACTTGTTTTTAGGAACTCCAAAAAAGCAGGAATTTACACTGTATGCCACCAGTGCAACAGGTAAAAACATTCCCTAACATTTTGGTGTCCTAAATGAAATTTTTTATTTCTAGATTTAATACTTATTTAATTTTTACTTCTGCATCCTTCTCAATTTACATCCATCATCACAGGCTGCTCTTGAGTACAGTGTCATCATCACAGGCTGCTTTCTAGTTCAGTGTCATCATCATAGGTGGCATTTGAGTTCAGTGTCATCACAAGTAGGTTTTGAGTTCAGTGTCATTTAAGGTAGATTTTGATTTCAGTGTCATCACACGTAGATTTTTAGTTCAGTGTCATCACAGGAAGCTTTTGAATTTAGTATCATCATCACAGGCATTTTTCAGTTCAGTGTCATGATACTGTCATCATCAAAGGCAGGTTTTTGAGTTCAGGCTCATCATCACAGGGTGCTTTTGAGTTCAGTGTCATCATCACAGGTCACAGGCTGCTTTTGGAGTTCAGTGTCATCATCACAGCCTGCCATTGAGTTCAGTGTCATCATCACAGCCTGCCATTGAGTTCAGTGTCATCATCTCAGGCTGCCTTTGAGTTCAGTGTCATCATCACAGGCTGCTTTCTAGTTCAGTGTCATCATCACAGGTGGCATTTGAGTTCAGTGTCATCACAAGTAGGTTTTGAGTTCAGTGTCATTTAAGGTAGATTTTGATTTCAGTGTCATCACACGTAGATTTTTAGTTCAGTGTCATCACAGGAAGTTTTTGAATTTAGTATCATCATCACAGGCATTTTTCAGTTCAGTGTCATCATCAAAGGCAGGTTTTTGAGTTCAGGCTCATCATCACAGGGTGCTTTTGAGTTCAGTGTCATCATCACAGGTCACAGGCTGCTTTTGGAGTTCAGTGTCATCATCACAGCCTGCCATTGAGTTCAGTGTCATCATCTCAGGCTGCCTTTGAGTTCAGTGTCATCATCACAGGCTGCTTTCTAGTTCAGTGTCATCATCACAGGTGGCATTTGAGTTCAGGGTCATCACAAGTAGATTTTGAGTTCAGTGTCATCACACGTAGATTTTGAGTTCAGTGTCATCACACGTAGATTTTTAGTTCAGTGTCATCATCACAGCCTGCCATTGAGTTCAGTGTCATCATCTCAGGCTGCCTTTGAGTTCAGTGTCATCGTCACAGGTGGCATTTGAGTTCAGTGTCATCACAAGTAGATTTTGAGTTCAGTGTCATTTAAGGTAGATTTTGAGTTCAGTGTCATCACACGTAGATTTTTAGTTCAGTGTCGTCACAGGAAGCTTTTGAATTTAGTATCATCATCAAAGGCATTTTTCAGTTCAGTGTCATCATCAAAGGCAGGTTCTTGAGTTCAGGCTCATCATCACGGTGTGCTTTTGAGTTCAGTGTCATCATCACAGGCTGCTTTTGGAGTTCAGTGTCATCATCACAGCCTGCCATTGAGTTCAGTGTCATCATCTCAGGCTGCCTTTGAGTTCAGTGTCATCATCACAGGCTGCTTTCTAGTTCAGTGTCATCATCACAGGTGGCATTTGAGTTCAGTGTCATCACAAGTAGGTTTTGAGTTCAGTGTCATTTAAGGTAGATTTTGATTTCAGTGTCATCACACGTAGATTTTTAGTTCAGTGTCATCACAGGAAGTTTTTGAATTTAGTATCATCATCACAGGCATTTTTCAGTTCAGTGTCATCATCAAAGGCAGGTTTTTGAGTTCAGGCTCATCATCACAGGGTGCTTTTGAGTTCAGTGTCATCATCACAGGTCACAGGCTGCTTTTGGAGTTCAGTGTCATCATCACAGCCTGCCATTGAGTTCAGTGTCATCATCTCAGGCTGCCTTTGAGTTCAGTGTCATCATCACAGGCTGCTTTCTAGTTCAGTGTCATCATCACAGGTGGCATTTGAGTTCAGGGTCATCACAAGTAGATTTTGAGTTCAGTGTCATCACACGTAGATTTTGAGTTCAGTGTCATCACACGTAGATTTTTAGTTCAGTGTCATCATCACAGCCTGCCATTGAGTTCAGTGTCATCATCTCAGGCTGCCTTTGAGTTCAGTGTCATCGTCACAGGTGGCATTTGAGTTCAGTGTCATCACAAGTAGATTTTGAGTTCAGTGTCATTTAAGGTAGATTTTGAGTTCAGTGTCATCACACGTAGATTTTTAGTTCAGTGTCGTCACAGGAAGCTTTTGAATTTAGTATCATCATCAAAGGCATTTTTCAGTTCAGTGTCATCATCAAAGGCAGGTTCTTGAGTTCAGGCTCATCATCACGGTGTGCTTTTGAGTTCAGTGTCATCATCACAGGCTGCTTTTGGAGTTCAGTGGCATCATCACAGGCTGCCATTGAGTTCATTGTCATCATCACAGGCTGCCATTGAGTTCAGTGTCATCATCACAGGCTGCTTTCTAGTTCAGTATCATCATCACAGGCTGCTTTCTAGTTCAGTGTCATCATCACAGGCTGCTTTTGAGTTCAGTGTTATCATCGCAGGAGGCTTTTGGGTTTATTGTCATCATCACAGGAGGCTTTTGGGTTTATTGTCATCATCACAGGCAGCTTTTGAGTTTAGTGTTATTTGTAATGATATATCTGTGTTTTGAGAAACAATTACCAGTAATAGTGTGGTTTTAAAAAAAACAAAACATATTGTGAGATATTTTCTTGACAATATATTATTTGGGATATTACACCTGTTTTAATATTTGCTGCAACTAGTTCTGTTGTGGAGCTGGAAAATTCATTATTTGTATACAAATGCCTTATGATCTGAAGTTGTAATCTCCTTTGCAACCCTTGGTGATTTTGATATCACTTATATCATGGGATTTATACCCTCTAATCCTCATCCACTCTTTTCCAATTTAATTGTATTTCCATGTCCCTAATATCCTTCCCACCTCTTTAAAAAATTCTATATATATCCAGGATTTATAAGATTACAATTATTTATCCCAATGATGTCAATATAAAAATAAGGATGTGATATGATTACCAAAGAGACAACTATCCACCAAAGTTCAGATTAAGTGGATGTAATAAATTATAGGCCTTCAACAATGAGAAAAACCCATACCATATAGTTGGCTATAAAAGACCCCGAAATGAAAAATATGAAACAATTCAATTGAGAAAACTAACGGCCTGATTTGTAACACAACAATTTACGAAAAACAAAAATATCAGACAACAATCACTGAACTGCAGGTCCTAACTTGGGACAGGCACATAAAGAATGTGGCAGGGTTAAACATATTTGTGAGTGCTCAACCCTCCCCTTAACCTGGGACAGTGGTGATACGGCACGACATAAGAACAAACTATAAAAATCAGTTTAAAATGGCTTAACTCATCAGATTGATGCAAAGCAGAGAAACATCTAACAAAAGCACAGACCGGCCATGGCAGGGTATTTATTCATCCCTAACAACAAAAAAGTCAAAGTACAGATCTGAGAGTACTCACAGTTACATACAGCTAGTTCAAAGCCAATAACAACTAATAAAAGAAATATGTATCTGTACAAGTTGGACAAAGTATTATTCCAATTTGGTAGAACTATTGTTTGGATCAAGTAAATGCTGAAGAAAAAAATAATTATAAGTTTTTAAGCATGAAAATATGAATTATTATCTTTTTTCATAGATATAGCAATTTTGAGCTACTTGGAATTTTAACACCAACAAAATAATTAATCCATCATAATTGTCAGTATATACAAAAACTTCAGTTATTATAAGATATTATATTTTACAGATGAGTCAGCTAAGCCATTACAACCAATGCCAGATTATTCATCTCCTCCACCACCGACTACTATGCCCTATGGAGTTCAACCAACAGCCAGTGGTGCTCCACCACCTCATCCACCAAGTTATGGAGATGCTATGAACAACCCATATCCTGCAGAACCTTATTCTGGTATTTACTTAATTATTATATTATCTTATGAGGTACCAAAAAAAAATGTTTCCTCCAAACTTTAAGGACTGAAAATTTTGTTCAGATTATACAGTTTTTGTTGGGGTTCGTGTTGCTCAGTCTTTAGTTTTCTATGTTGTTTTGTGTACTGTTGTTTGTCTGTTTGTCTTTTTCTTTTTTAGCCATGGCATTGTCAGTTTATCTTTGATTTATGAGTTTGAATGTCCCTTTGGTATCCTTCGCCTCTCTTTTTATACAGGTGTTGGGTTTACATTTAGGTAAAATATTACTTAACATTTATTTTATGTCCTGATGTATAGATTGCTGTATAGATGGGTTACAAATGGTTCAGTATAGACAGGTTACAAAAGGTTCAGTATAGACAGGCTACAAAAGGTTCAGTAAAGACATGTTACAAATGGTTAATTTATGTAGACAACTGGTTCAGTACAAGGAGGTTACAAATGGTTCAGTATAAATAGGCCACAGAGTTCAGTATAGACAGGTTACTAAGGATTCACTATAGACAGGTTACTAAGGGTTCACTATAGACAGGTTTAAAAAGGGTTCAGTATATATGGTGAACAAAAGGTTCAGTTTAGACAGATTTACAAAGGGTTCAGTATAGACAGGTTTATACAGGGTTCAGTATATATGGTTAACAAAAGGTCCAGTTTGACAGATTTACATAGGGTTCATCATAGACAGGTTACAATGGGTTCAGTATAGACAGCTTACAAAGGGTTCAGTATAGATGAGTTAAATGTAGACTAACTTTTTTTTTAGATCCAATGTACAAACCACCCATGCCATCTGATGATGTTAACACAGGAGGTAACCTCCCATATGGTATGAACACAGAACCTGCACAAGGATATGGACCTGACAGCAGTAAGTTTTTGGTGGAAGAAGACTTCAAGTCTTCTGAAAGCCTTTACTGTCGGCTGTAAAATCATTGAACCGTTACGAGAACGTATGCCGTATCCCTTTCTGTGCTTTACAATTTCATAACAACTTCCGTGCCATATCTTGACACCGATGTTTACACATGATCTAAGCATTTGCATCATTTAATTAACGTCTCCTCGGAGACGTTATTAAGAATTGAACGATGGACAGTCTGCGGGCTGAATGCTTCTAACTACCTGATTGGAAGATATTACTGAGACGTTAATAATTAAAGTTCTTTGATTGGTTGGGACAATCCAAACGTAGTAAATGTCTGTCAATCCCGTAGAGTATCGGATTTGTACTCTCTATTTTAGCAATTAGATTTTGCCTGGTCACCAATCATGCATATCGGTACACAGGTAACTTTTATCTATAAATAGCCGAATCTCATGTAAACACACACAAAGGCCAGTCAAGGTCGTTAAACACTTCCATCATCATCAACACACACATGATTGTTTCGCATTCAATCCAGTCGCTCACTGTTACGCACATTTTATACACGAAAAACATAAGATAACTTGAACATGGTTATAATATTTAATGACGAGAGAATAAATTGTTTGACAAATATGTAAAGCATTTACAACCATGATTTGAAGGATTATTCCGTTGGACCTTATTTGATACATAACATTAAACGATATACTGCTTCATAACGTGTGTGGTAAAATTTGTTGATTGACATGCAAGGCTTTTCTGAATGAATTAATCTACAAAGCGAGAACACTTTCCACTTTCATCAGCTAAGAGACGGCTATCTTTTTTCGAAAAGCTATTACTTGTTTATTAGTTAGGCTTGAAAAACGATCACTATCGTTATGTTATAATTTCTCATGTGTTAATGTATTAACAGAAATATCAATGAACAAACTAATGTCTGTTGACGGATTCCATTTTGAAAGTACGTAGTTTTCATGTCGGTCATTGTCGGAATGTCCCCAATGATTGCCTTTATTGCCTTAATACGTTTCAAAGTTTTAGAAGTGATAAAAAACGGGATTTAACAACTGAATAGTCCAGCTCTTTACCGTTATTCGCCATTAAGGTACACACATTATCGAGGCTCGAGTACGGAACCAGTAATTTGTTGTTGTCAATAGTTTTATTTTCATGAAAAATTTCAGAAAAGGGCTGTGTGACTCCTGACTGAAATTGCCATTCCTACCCTCATACTTTTGTGTAAAAATATTAGATGAAAATCAAATATGATATATGGGTCAAGCACTTTAAATGAACGGGTTTGAAATGCTAAAAGAGTCAAGCGCACACGTGATTCTGTCAACTGACGGTGCATCGTTTGATGTGTAAAACACCAGCAGATTCACGTGTGCACTTGACTCTAAATTATCGCAATAACATAGCAAGGTCATCATCTGACATGACCGGTCAATCCTTGGCCTGACACATATCTGCATTGGATATATTTAGAATTTTCCAATATATGTTTATAATGAAAAACCCTAGTTTAAGCAAACTTGACTAAAATCTTGGTGGCACAGTTTTTTTTTTAAAGTTAACTATAGATCTGCCTTTGAAAGAAACTTTCAAGTGAAACCAAATCATTTACTGTTATGATTGCTTGGCGAAATTGCATTGCATGAAGTTGACCATGCTGAGACGAATGTATGAAATTTAGTTATAGAAAATTTAATTTGAATCAACAGTATTTGCAGATTTTTATGTTAAGTATAGTGTGTTTTGGTTGAGTTATGAGTATTATTATTTTTGGAAGAAAAAAATATGTCGAAAGCAATAATGGGACAAAGCAGGCTGGGTTGGTGGGGGCTGCTTTTATGGTAATTCAAGTTACCTTTTATGCATCTTCTTCTACCTCAGAGCAATCACCTCTTTGATTGTCAACTCTAGTCCTCAATAGATGTCTGATGATATAAACAGAACCTAAATAAGGATATTTACTTTCAAGAATCAGTGCCTAAATATGGGAGCTAACTTAGAAATTAATCCAGATATGGACATCTGAGATGAGTAGTTTATAAACATCAATATGGGAAGTAATTAAGAATCTCCACCAGGATATTAATGTTGAAGCAGCAAGGAACTCAAAAAACATCTGTTGATACTTGTATTGAACATATTCACTGAGTCTAAGGCTTTGTGGTGCCTGAGTAGATAACAAGTTTTTAGGGTAAAATTAATCTCTCCCTTCGACTTACTATGGTTTGACTATAAATATTACAGAGCTGAAGCTCCTAGTGTGTGTTGTTATAGTTTTAACATTGTAAGAATTATTCATTCTTTTGAAATGAAATTATTAGTATTTAGAATAACAAACTGAACTCCAAAATATTTTACGGTAAACAAAGTTGGGTTTTTTTCTTGCAGACTTGCCTTACGGCTATCCACCAGCACCTGCATCTGAAGGAGCAACACCATATCCTGGTCCACCAGGGGGGGCTGCACCATATCCATCACCTGCTCCAGCAGGGGGCTTTGTAGCACCCTATCCATCAGCACCAGCCAATGAAGCATATCCACCATCAACAGGAGGAAATTTGTATCCACAGTAATAACAATAGATTATTTAAGTAGTGCTGAATGCTTAAAGGAGCTTTTTTGTGTAAATTTAAAAGCTTCTCGTGGAAGTATTTTGCTGATGTCTTTTGTATTTTCTTTGATTTTTTTTTAACATAATGGTAAAAAAAATCAAAAATAACCCTAGTGAAGTCCTGGATTTTGCATGCTGTTATCATGAAATAGTCTTTAAGATTGCTGGTAATCAATTAGTTTTGTGCCAGTTATTTTCTATATTTTATGAGTAAAACAAATCCTAACAAATTCATGATGCTGCGTTAAGCCTTAAATTACTTTTCCTGAAAAGTGTTAGGTTGGAGTTACCTCCCTTTAGATGTTGAATATAAATTGATATAGTAAAAATTGAATAATCATAAGTTGTCTCGAAATGCAAAACGTATTTGTGTGATGCTAAGAAATAGAAAAAAATGTTGGGTTTTCCATGATTTCTGTCCTGTCTGGTTATGTGTAGAAATAATTTTTATATCCTTGACAAGGTATGATCATTCTTTCTAATATTATGCAAAACTTTTTTTATTTGAAAAAATAATTATTTTTCATTTATTGATATAAAATTGTAGATTAAAGATATAAACTACATATTCTAATTTCTATGACCCTGACTTTATTTTGTAACATGATAAATACTTTGAAAGAACATTTTGTAAATGTCACAAATAAACTTTAAACAGTCACAAATACCATATAGTAAAAGTATGATGTATTATTTATGCTTAAAAATGTTCATTGTTTTTTGTGAATTATTTTTTTGGTGGGAATGTTGAGCATCACTAAAACATTCTAAGTCAGATACTGTTTTTATACGACCGCAAAAATTAAAATTTTTTTGTTAAAACTTTCTACCTAAAATATACTTAATTTTATGTTGTCTCACCAGATAAAGTTGTGCCATAAAGTATTGTGTGAACATATTGGTCATTTTAGAAATGAGGTGGTCACTTGTTTTGTGGATTTGTAATAAACCTTGATTTCATTTACATTATTTGATGGAATGTTGGTTTCACTTAATGATTAATATTAGAACACAGGTGATTCATTTTAATACTTTTATGAATACCAAATTTCGGGGATTGAAGAAAAATTGTATTTTCATGGATTTTTTATTTCAATGTTTTGCCAAAGGCTGCATACAAGCCTATAGAACATTTGTACTTTGTTGGACATTTGAATTAATGGTTCACCTTTACCCACTCCCACATACCTGCTAACCTCTGAAACCTTCAAAGAGGGAAATCTCTCCCTAAGCTATGACAGCTGAGGGGGAGATTTTGCGCGAATGAAATTTTCAAGTTAAATATATGACCTGTTTATGTATTCATCTACAAAACGCCAATAAGAGTTAATAAATATACTTTATTTCTTCAATTCATGGTTAGGTTTTTTTTAGCCTTTTTCAATACCTCCGAGTCTCATAACTCATAAACATTCCAGATTTTGATTTTGTTGTGAGTCTCACACTAAACATGCTTTCAAACATTGTACAGACCACCAGAAGAAATCGAAAAGTTGATTGAGCATGATGTGCAAAAAGATTCATTGCTAAGTGAACTTGGTCGTAAAAATTGAAAATCTTTCATTCAAATCTGCATGACATTTCGATTTGCAGTTATCTATTTCTTCTTTTTTACACTGCCACTTGGTCCATACAAAGACCTCTATCTTGTTGGAGTTGACATACAAATGTAGCAGAACTGAATTTCGATTACTTCTATATTGAACATAAAAGCTACTGACCAAAATTTTCAAATGATCGCTGATTATTTATTTCTATTGAAAGTAATGAAAAAGCCAGAGAATTATGAACGCGGGTTATTCCAGGTCAAAATATCCGAAAGCAGGCGATTCTATACTCCCGCGCAGGAGCAGACCGGCAAGCGGGAGATTTCCGAAATTTCCTCGTTTTGCCCAGGAGACTCCTTCTCAAAACGGGAGGGTTGGCAGGTATGGTCCCATAAATAATAATCAATCCACAGTACAATAAATTCAGACATTTTGTGTCCATTTATTGTTGTGATTCTTCAACAATGAACAAAAATGTGAAATTAATGATAGTAATTTCAGGAAATGCTTCATATAAATTATGCTATAAAAATTTTGAAATGCAAGTTGGTTAATTTTTTTTTGCTAAACGTAATCCATCACAATTTTTACAAAATAAAAACATCCCTAACATTTCTGAATGTAGCAGTATGTGAATATTGAGAAAAATCTTATATTAATTATATTTATTTTCTTAATTATTTAATAAAAACTGGATTGCACATTAATGCAAACCTAACACTGTCTTACTTTATTTGTCTATACTAAATATACCATTATGCAATGCACACACTGTTGTCTGTTTATTTGTTTAGTATACAGTTATTAGCCTAGTGTCTGTCTGTTTATTTGTTTAGTATATAGTTATTAGCCTAGTGTCTGTCTGTTTATTTGTTTAGTATATAGTTATTAGCCTAGTGTCTGTCTGTTTATTTGTTTAGTATATAGTTATTAGCCTAGTGTCTGTCTGTTTATTTGTTTAGTATATAGTTATTAGCCTAGTGTCTAGTTATTCATTATTATTCTGTTTTTTATAAGAATATTTTATTCTTAAAATTGTTTTTTTTAAATATTTTGAGAGTTGTTATTGTTTTTACATCTTTATACCAGGTTTAATTAAATGAGCTTTGGCTTATTATTTTTTGTTTTAGTGGTTGTTTCAAAAAGGATAAGTTTATTTTCATTGGTTGATAAACTTTTTGAATAAAAATGTGTGTCTGATTGGATACTTCAAGGATCAACTCATATATCAGCTTCTTTTAAAATGAATTTGATAATATAACCGGGTGTTTGTTTGGTGAAAAACGTTGAATTTTGGAGGTTTAAAATTCTATTTTGAAAATATTTATTCAAATCTAAATTCAGTACATAATCAAGGAAAAAGATTGGGAATTTGCAACAATATACTATATGAAATTTATGATATTTATTTTCTCCACAGAACAGGCCTTATTTGGGCCAGATATAAGTGTTTAACTTTATTGTGCAATTAAAACAAAAATAGTTGTATTTTTTAATGCATGTTTTTTTATCTGAGTACCACTGGATGTTAAGCAGACAACTATCAATGAATAAATCAATCTGATTACCATAGATATTGTAGTAATTGTACGATATATATATAAATTTTTACTTATTGCCTACCCTGAAAAATTGGTTTGAAATGAATAGAATTGAAATATGATGTTATCTTTATTACATTTGTTGAATTCAAACAAAACCATGAAAATTGTGGCATTTTTGTATGTTATTACCTTTTATGATATTGTTTTAGAAGAGTGTCAAAGTAATGAATTTTAAATACATGTACACAATATATCTTCTTTACTTTTCTATGATCTGTAACAAGACATGCTATGTAGATAATAGTATACCACTGTTTGCAAATTTTTACATTGAGTACTACTGCAAAGTTTTCTGGAAAATTACGGTAAAAATTCCAAATTTTCACTTTCCTTTCACTAATAGTTCATACAATTTATGTATAATCAAGTGAAGACATAACATGCATGATGAGTGTTTGAACTTCTCTTTAAGCCATGTATGGATTAGCAAGGATAACATTAATTATTATTTGTTTTAGGCATATACTTATCTTTGAAACTAATAACACCTTATACATGTACTGAAAACTGCTGTAAAATTTATATTAAACATTGAAAACACATTTATATATCACGACACCTAGCTCAGACAAGACACAAAACAATCAATATAGATTATAACATAGTAGTGCTATATGTGAAACATCTTGAAAATATTTGGATAGTATGTTAAACCCACTGTAAATAATAGATAGTATGCAAAACACTTTGAATTATTTGGACAATATGTGAAACACATTGAAATTATTGTGCAATATGTGAAGCACATTGAAAACATTTTTACAATTGGTGAAAAACATTGAAAAAATGTTAATACCTTTATATGTGAGGCACCTTGTTTTTACTGCAAAATTAGAATTAGGCCTATCTTGATATCCTCATTCCCTAAAATAGTAAAGTACTAGTTACTTGTCTTGCTCCTATGCATACCAATATGATGAAATCAAGATTAACCTTTAGGTTTATGGTTGTGTTTTTATGTACTTGTCTACATAACCTGATAACTTTTTGGCAAGTTTTCAGCTGGTATTTGATACTGTTAATAGTAAATGAATGCCACACAAATTCAATACCTTTTGCAAACTCTTATCAGAAATATGTATGATGCAGCTGATTTTTTTATTTGCTTAGCATGATAATTTGATTGACTATATTGTTTTTACTAATACTTACTGGACCCCTTTTAGTGAAATTTATGGTATGGAGAGAATATTTGTTTTATTGATAATTGTATAAGATATACAAGGTGTCAGTTAATGTTATTTTTTGTAGTTGTTTTTCAGGTTATTATATATTTTTAACAAATTTTATCAATATTTATATACATGTATTATTAAATTTATATTAAGCTTTTGGAGTGTATCCAGCATATGATAACAAAGCATGTAATGTTCAGATGTATTTGATTCTTTTTTAAATATTTCAGGAAATATTTGGATAATTTCTGTTAAATTCAATTGATATGTAAGTAACATATATCTTTATGTACAGCTCAACATACAAAATTGTTGCTGTAAGCTTCAAGATGAAGAACAACAATTGTAGTACTGTTCGTCAATATACAGATGTATTATTGTTTGTGCTTATCATGTGATATTTTTTGCCTCACACATGTTGATCCTTTAAGTTTTCTGTGTAAGCTGTGATTTATTGAAGAAAAACTTATTTACATGTAATTTACTGAAGAAATTCACTGAAAATTCTTTGAAAAAACATCTGTGTAGCTTTGATGTTTAAAGAGTCAACTATATTTGAATAATTAAATTGTTGTAATTTTTAAAGGTGTACATAAATTATAGCTATATTTATTTATAACCATTTTCTTCTTTTAAAGCATTTAATCTTAAGGATGTTCGCTTGTCATGTTTTGGAATTTTTGTCAGATTTTCGGAATCCTCTGATTTTATCCATTTTAATGCCTTAAAAAAATTTGCCCCCTAACCCCTACTTTTCTTTTCATAATTTTATTACACATAGTTTAAAAAGCCATATTTGAAAATCCTATAAAATCCTTGTTATTTTTTCATAATTTTTAAAAGAAAAAGGGTGCCAATGTTTAATGTATGAAAAGTCTAGAGAGAATTATATCCCGCCAAATTTTCAATGGCTTATATCTTGAAAACAAGCACACGGACCCTTAATTTTTTCTGCTTTTTTAATTCCTTTGTTTATATACTATCAATTTATAACAGTCTTTTAAAAATCTTGTTATTTTAATACAGAGTAGCAAACATCCTTAATTAACATACTCCACTAGTTGTATGTTTTTCTTTTATTCTATAGTCATTGATAGATGCATTAAAGAAATGGTTGCATATTTTGCTTAAAAGGAAGAGGCATTATATACCAGAGAATTATAGACCTAAGACTCATGTCATTTCCAAAGTTGGTTCTTTCTTTATTTAATGAATTGGTCTTCCATTAGAATAGCAGAAATTTTAGTTTTACCCTTTGCCATGACATGATTTTACTACTTACAATTATATAGGCACACTAGAGTGTGAATCCTTTTTATTTTTAGAAGTTTTTTTTATTCTTTAATAGAAAATCTCAAAAATCCTAGACTCCAGTGCCTATGTCTAAAAAAGTTAACACTGATATTGTTTGTATAGCATTTTTAAAGAAGAAAGTTGAATTTCTCTTTGATTATTCTTCTAATAATGTATATTTTTACACCTCATGTTAGTTTCTCATTAAATGTTTAATCCAGATTTCTTTAATTCAGCTCTGAAGTGATATTTATACTGCTAATGTTGACATTATTACTGCAAATTTAATATCAGAATAAGTATCAGACAGTTAAATAAATATATAAGAACTGCCAACTTTCCTATCAGATTTTAAACATTTTTAGGAGATGCAATAACAAATCCCATATGGATATTTTGAAAAGTTGACAGGCATTGACTATATTTGTTCAAAATTTATAAAATTTTATATTACTATTAGTGAGGAAAAAAGCGTAAATATTGATAGAAGTTGAATCAGCTGATTAAAGATCACAATAGAACAACATTGTCTTTTATGCAACTTATGATAACAATGACTCAAGTTTCTATTAAGGAAAGAAGGGTGTATTAATTTCTGACTTAAAATACCATGGGGCACTATGCAAAACCCTTAGCAAAGGAGCATTGTGTGTAATAATCATTTTCTCTATATGGCCATGCTGTAATTAAAGATAGACCAATGTTTGGACTGTATTTCAATTAAATTACTTACTTATAACCTATAGTGACCTATAGTTGCTAACTCTACGTCATTTGGTCTCTTGTGGAAAGTTGTCTCATTGGCAATCATATTACATCTTCTTTTTTTTTTATGCCCCCGCTGTAAAGGAGGGGGCATAATGTTTTACCCTTGTCCGTCTGTAAGTCCAAGTTTGAATTTTGGTGGTGTCACTTTTACCGTTCTAGAGTTATGCCCCTGTATAAATGGAAAAATTGCTGAATTTTTCGTTTCCATTCTTTAACTTAAGTTTGCCTCAACCAAATGTTATGAAACTTATACACAATGCTTATTATTATATTTACCACAAAACTCAGATAGTACTAATTTAGGTAGCATCACTTTTACCGTTCTTGAGTTATGTCCCCATATAACATTATATGCAGGCGGGGGCATGATCTGTGTCCCATGGACACATTCCTCATTTATTTATTTCTTACCAGAGCAATGATAGGCTTGATATAACTTCTATGATATCAATCAACCAAGTACAATGGAAAGAGGAAATCATCATAGTCATGTTTCATTCTTTGTGGTTTCTATTCAGGTGATGAACTATTGGTGTAGTGTTTATACTGATTTAGTTATTGGATTTTTGGAACTTTTTTTGTAGACTAAGTAATCATTTTTAAGATAATATAATGACATGGATTGTAAATTCCACTTTTTAGAATTAAATGTTGTGCAATTTTACAGTTTGTAATTCAATGATTTTGTTACTGTTAATATTTGTCTCTCTGTTGTATGTTAATCATTCTGTAAACTATTTCATTTGTATTTTGAATTGTTCTTTTAATTTTACAATTAAATATTTACCTTTTCTCAACAAAATCGACTTTTCATTGGTTGGCATCCATCATCAGTATTTTTGTTCCTTTTGAATTGTTTCACTTTTTGCTATTCATGGGCCTTATATAGCTTACCATACAATATGGGTTTTGCTTATCATTGAAGGCTATATGGTGAACTGAAATTATCTTATCCTTCTTCATTGTTCTAATTTGGGGGAAAATTTTTTTGTTGGCAATTAAAACACATTTCCTTATTTTAATTTGATTATGAGAACAGGTAAGGTCTGAGTTAACTATGGAACCATAGCTTATATGGTCCTTATGATATTTTTCCACAATTTGCAGACTGCCAGTTTTCCAAAAATATCATACAGACCATTAGAGTTAAGTTCCGCAGATATGTCTAAGTAAGATATGATTTCCAATATGTCAGAAAAAATGTACTGTTTCATCTTCTTATATCTATATCTGTTTCATACAAATTGATTTCTTGCACCTTACATCAGTCTTTGCTTGTAAGAATTATTTTGAAATATTATTCAAAACACTAGTCAGATTTGAAAGTAACATCATATGAATCATCATTAATGTGTCAACTTTTGTATTCATATTTAATACAATACAGACTTGTTTGCAATATTTTTCTCTTTTAAGCATATACTGTAAATTCAGAAATTATTGCAAGGTTTTTATTATTGCGAATAATGCAACTGGGTGAGTATTGCAATAATAAGAACTCGCATTCTGATATCTGAATCTTATATCTGTATGCAGCTTTTCCAGAATTCGCAATAATTAATCTGGCTTTTATGTCCATTCTTCAAAAATCACAATAATAAATGCATGCAATAATTTCTGAATTTACAGTAGTATTAAGTTTTTGGTTTGACTGAATATCATCCTTCATGCCCCGATATCCTTTGTTCCCAAGTTGCATCCATCTGATACTTGATATTGACAAAAGAGGAAAAACAACTTTGTATCACATGCCATTTTTATCGTATATTGGTATCACGTCGTCATGTCCGAAGACATTTGGTTTCTGGACAATAACTTTAGTATTAGTAAATAGAAATCTATGAAATTTGAACACAATGTTTATAACCACAAAAGGAAGGTTTGGATTGATTTTGAGGTTATGGTCCCAACAGTTTAGGAATTAGGGGCCAAAAGGGGGCCAAATAAGCATTTTTCTAGTTTCCAGACAATAACTTGTGGAAAGGTGTATGGATCTCTCTGAAAGTATACCACAAGTTTCCATACCACAAAGAGATGGTTAGGATTGGCTTTTGGGTGTTATGGCTCAAACTGTTTAGGAATTAGGGCAAAAAAGTGAGAAAAAACAAGGGTATCCTGGTTAATGGACAATTACTTAAGTACAATGTTGTGTTTGAATTACCGCCCTTACACTGCTTTTAAATTATGTATAAAGAAATGTATTGTATTCAGATGATTAGCTGTCAATTTTATTTTTAGAAGATACTATTTTAATAATTTAAAAAATGCTGATTTAAGGTATATTAATTTTAGCCATGATTATGTATGTCATTTTCTATTTTAAGACTTTTATGATGTATTTAAATGGGTTATTATGGTTGCAAACTCCATTGGAAATTTGAATTGAGATTACGACCATATCTTGATGGAAAGAATTTTTTTTTGAAAAAAGGGGGGAGGTCAATTCGCAACAGCATAGTGTATTGCACAAAAGCAAAAAAAAAAGGGGGTACGTTTTTTTTTTTGTTTTTTTTTTTTGGGGGGCGGGGTAATTCGCAACAGCATAGTGTATTGCACAAAAGCAAAAAATTTAATATAAATTCAAATCATATAACCAATTCTAAGTTCTTTGACTACAGTTATTCTGTGTCAGAAATAATCAAATTTTAAAGTAAATTTGGATTTTATTAGATAAATACTTACCATCATAAATTCATCATTCATAGATTGGAGATAATGAGAGATAAAAGAATTCTCATTTCTCCAGAAACCTGCAGACCTTCTAAAGATGCACAGTTAAACAGAGCCCAGGATGTAGAGATATCCCTAATATCATGAGCTTTAACATTAAAACTATCCAAAAGTTCTGCCTTAGAAGAACCATAAGCTAAAGATATGCATTTGCATATCCATGTAGAAATAGTTTTAACAGAAAGATCTGAGATTCCTTTTTTTATAGGAATAAAGAGTCTTGAATTAGAAACAGAACGTAAACTCTTCGTTCTATCCAGATAGATAGAAAGGATTCTTACTGGACATAAAAGTACAGAAATAGAATCGGTAGGGAGTGCAGGAATCACGACTGGTTTTGCACCCTTATCTGGAATATGATTCTTTGCCAAAAAAAAGCAGGATCAGTTAAAAGAGTAACAGAAGATTTATCCCTGTTAAATCGAAGACAAGCATCAGAAATAGAGAAGGCATGAATTTCACTCCTTCTCCGTCCAGAAGCCAAAGCTACAAGAAAACAGCATTTATAGGAAAGAAACCTTAAATCTATTTTTTTCTGCTGGTTCAAAAGGAGAAAGTTTTAAAAAGGATAAAACTAGTCCAAGGTCCCACTTAGGAACTAAAGTTTTTTGTCTTCGTCTTTCAAGACTAAAACTACGAACCAAAAGAGAAATATGCTCATTGTTTCAAAATCTGGACCACCAGAAATATGAATAGTTCTTGAAATAGCTGCTCTATATCCCTTAGTAGTAGAGGGACATAAACCTTTGGATTCAAAAAGAAAAACTAGAAAGTCTGCTAATTGTTGTACAGTGACTTGGAAAGGATCGATTTCCCGCTCACTACACCAATCTGAGAAGATTGACACAACTTTTTGGAATTTGGGGTCCTCAATGCTTTTCAACTTTGTACTTGTTTGGCTTTATAACTATTTTGATCTGAGCGTCACTGATGAGTCTTATGTAGACGAAACGCGCGTCTGGCGTATTAAATTATAATCCTGGTACCTTTGATAACTATTTACACCACTGGGTCGATGCCACTGCTGGTGGACGTTTCGTCCCCGAGGGTATCATCAGCCCAGTAGTCAGCACTTCGTTGTTGACATGAATATCAATTATATGGTCATTTTTAAAGGCAGTGCTTTAATGCCTTTCTGGTTGCCGGGTTAATCCTTCCTTCCGCGATATCCAACTTATCTACGTGGGGGGTCATTAGGCTCCAAGTAGATCCGGAAATGTTGAATTCTCTCCTCTTCTTATTGCGATATAAAATGTTTTTTGTTTCATTTCATTTACATTGGGAAATAGAGAAACGATCATTGTGTTTTGTTAGTTTTAAAAACTTTTGATATATTAGTATTTTGCATTATAAGCAGTCAACCGATTGACAAACTAGAAATTCCGTGGGAAAGAGCTCGGGTTAATTTCGAGTGTTATCTGCAATCTAGATGTTTATAAATCATTTCAGTCGTTGATATAATAATTAAAGGTCGACTGAACATGAATTATATTATACAATTTAAAGCGCATTTCTGTTTATGCACGTGAACCCGTCTAACGTTATTGTTATTTCGCAGTTATATAAAGTAGCAAATTATCGTTCCTGAATAGGTGGCGCCGTGGTAGCGGATCCTGTTCCTCAACTTCCGGTTTCTGCATAGTGCAACTATTTCAGTTATATTTTTAATTAACGATGCCAAGTACTTGTTGTTGTGTACCTGGATGTCATTTAAGAGGAGGACATGCATTTCCAAATGACTTAAAAAGAAGGAAAAGTTGGATCAACGCCATTGCCCATACACAGATTGGACGAGAACACGATGATATCGTGGAGTCCATCTCAATCAGCTGTTGTTTGCAAGGCACGTTTTACTGAAAAAGACTACGTGCAGGAAACTATTCATGGTAAAACTCTATTTTCTTTGTGAAATATATAGTTATATATGTAATCGCCATGCGAATAAACCAAAGTCTGTTTACAACCGCAATTATCGTTTTAGAATAAAAGGGGGTGGGTAATTCAAGACGTCATAATTTTTTGGATTACGATTCAATGTGATCTGTTTGAGATTTTTAGTGATTGCTACAATTATAATGATTTCTTACAAGAAGTATATCATACTGAGAATTAATTTAGCAGTAATTATGCTAATGTAGTAATGACAGGAATGCATAAGCTATGCCTCATAGACTTTCTTGAAAAATATCAATGACAATGTTAACAGGAACAAAACAATGACATGCTCTCATCTATATTATAGTTATTTAGGTACAAACAATGTACGTTTGTTGCATAAGTCTCTCATTGTTTGTCCTTTGGATTTACATAACATACATTGAATCAGGCAAACATAGTTTTATCCAGATTGTAATGAATAAATCTAGTTAATATTTCGCCAGGTAGTACAAAGTATACATTGCTAATGGAAGTTCATTTAATTATCAAAAAACAAATGTTTTATAACCTTTTTCAGGGCGCAAACCCACCATACAGAGACTTAAGTCTACTGCCATTCCCAGCCTATTTTCCTGGACCAAAAAAGAGACTGAATCGTCCGCAAATAGAAAAATCAGGGCAGTTTCCTGTGAAAACAAAAGAACTAAACTTGATGAATATTGTAGTAAAAATCTAGAGGAAAGTTTTGATTGTAAAGTTGGTTTTCCTGAAGAAGTCATTCATACTGCAGAAAGGATTTATGACTGTCCACCACCAACTGCCGAGCTAATGTTGAGCTTCACAGATGGAATTACGCAAACACCATCAATGCCTATGTTTTCAGCAGAGAATTTTGAAATGAAGACACGTGACACAGCCATGCATTTTTATACCGGTTTAGAGTTGTATACTAAATTTTTATTTGTTTTGACCACACTTGGTCCAGCAGCACATTGTTTGAGATACATATATTTTCAAATTGATAGGGTGTCAGTTGAAAATCAGTTTTTTTATGACTTTGATGAAATTGAGGCATTATACAACCAACTTTGAACTGTCTAGATTCTAGATTGAATCTAGTGTTAAGAATATTGTGTATACATGGATTGTTTTTATGTCTAAACAGTGGTGTGAGGCTAACACTTGGCCATCTAG